ATGAAATTTAAATTAATATAAGTTATGTGAAGGGGTATTTCTTTTCATTAATTGATTAGAAACTTCAATACTAAGTTTATTCATCAATATTGTCAAATGGAAAATTGATATAGTTTTAAATAGTGGCCCGATATTTCTATTTAGCAGCTCAAAGGACTATAGATTATTGACTACAGTTAGATTATTTATTTCAATTCATATAACAAAAGAACATAACAAAACAGAGAAGATCTGTAAAGAAGTATGGAAAGAGTCTGGAAAATAGATAGTCTCGGTAGTAATAAAAAATATAATTCATCATGATTTGATTACACTTCAGATTCTGGTTTGAATAAGTGTACCACCGGCTTATGTTTTTTTTTTAATCCTCATACCTAAATTTTCCAAATCACTGATCACGGTGTACTGGTAAAATATAATATCACCGAGACAGTTTATCAGTTAATTTCAATATTTATAAAGTCAATCAGAGATGTTTAATATTTTGTCGCCTTTTATGGGGTTATTGATTATAATAAAAGATTGTCAACTAGCTTTGTTTTCGAGATAGTTTCCTTAATCCAGGTATTTTCAATTGGTTTGATATCGTCAGCGCACCATAAAAAATTCGCCTGTGATGTATATACACAGTTCCACAAAAGTTAGCTACTGCAAGTGATAAACCAAATTATACTTTATCCCTTTACAGTGTTGTAATGTTGTGTTTTCCTTGTCCACCGGGATCATCGATCCCAGCACATTTAGTGAAGATTAAATATCAATTAAGCTGGTGCTATGGGGAGTAAGGGATTTCGCAATTTTCCATTTACCTACATCAACAGATCTAGACTCAATTAAAACGAGTCTACGATTTCAAAGTTTTAATGTGTTCATTGCTTCCGAGTGATCTCCCCTTTTGTTCGTTTTTTACAACAATCGGATCACTTTTTTATACTACCAGGTTTTAGATGTAAACAAAATCAGAGGGTCTAATATTTAATAATGAATAACGAATATATGTATTTGACATTCAAAGGCAAATGAAGTCTAAGTAGTTCCGTAAAATTATGATTGACAATAATAATCAGTGTAAAAATGTCAAATGATTTGCAATTACAACCAAATCCTAGTTGTACTTAAGGTTTCTACAAATTAACCATAACAATAAGTAAACACCTTAAGTGTTTACCTTAAGGTGGTATTTTTACTCGATATATTGGCATGAACTTAGTCAACAACTCCTTGCATTAAATTATTATATTACATATTTAGTTTCTTACCGTAGGATAGGCTGAAATACCGGATCCATTCCGTGTATTCTTACTATTGTGTCCAGAATCTGACGGAAAGGGCTGATAAGTTGCGGTTGTTTTAACGGTCGGACAGATATCTTGTAAACATTCCTGGTATCAGTTATAAGTGCCACAGCTGTCAAATGCAGTTGACCTGCTAAGCCTAAGCTATGACATAACGTTTGGTTATTTAAAAAAAAATAATGTGTGTTTAGGGTAAACTGAACGCAACTAGACATGAATAACTTTTTGCGACGGACGCGCTGGATTTCGTTGGCTACAATCGCGCAATGTGTCCTCAACCGAATAACAGTCCACGGAATAGTACATAATTTGATCCTATGAAACTCCCATACTTCGTCGGGATATCTTAAAAACTTCCATATTTAGCCTTTTCAATTTCAAATTAAGTTATCCAAGTTAAAATAACAACGTATTTGATTGATAAAAACGCTGAAGCCCCGTAGTATTATTGCGCAATTATGCAAATAACTGCTAAAACGATTTACCGCTGTCGAAAAAGTAGGACAAGAAATTATGCTATAATTAAATAGTAAGCTCAATAATTCCTAGAAATTATAAGCAGGAAATAAATATTTCCCCATTAAACAAAACATTTTTATTAACAGATCAAAAGTTTTTCGTGACTTTAGAAAAACTCGCGCATTAATAAAAGAAGAACTCTTTTCGTGACTCATACCGCGGGTTTAGCTGAATATCCAGCAGTTATTAATAAATTTGACTACAGTACAATGGTAAGTATAAATATCTATTTTTGAAAATGCATTGTAACAAGAATGTTTTTCAACACTTTACCACCATATAGTCTTTCATGGTAATTAGTCGCCGGTAGAAACCGGCGACTATATTTGTAACAGTTTAACATTATACCTATGGTAGGAGAAGGCATTAATTTCTGTAAATAAAAGCATAACAATTACTGAACAATTAAAGACTACAATTGTTTTCAGTAATCACAAAAATTCAAACATACAATAATGTTGCTAAATGAAATGAAATATTTAAATACTGACATCGTAAAAAGCAACATTACAGTTTTTATAGAATGAATTAATGACGTATCCCTATGGATCAGTCATTGAATTTAGGGATGCTTTTACTTTTCTTAAAGTGTCAAGCGTTGCTATTTTATGATAAATAAATCATGCATGATATTTGAAATGACACTTTTAAATTATCTGGTTGTTTGTATCTTATAAGACCTATTCTATGTTTTATCTTATTTATTATAAACAGTTTCTCCCAGAATCACGTGACTACACGTTGTATGTTATTGTTATGAAATCTATTAATAGTAACAAATGGCTGATAAGATAGACATACAGGTAACATGTGAATGGTTGGCAGCTGATAAAGTGCAAATCAAAGTAATTTTGTATGAAAAATCTCGGTATGACAGTAGGGGTCGGAATCGTATTGGATACACAGAGAATTTATCGCACTGAAAGGCAATTAACATTAACTTTATCGTATGTAACGACAGGAATATTGATTTCAGCTAAATAATATATTTTTTCGATAGTGAATAAGAATAATTTGTTTATGCAGACAGCACTTTTACAGTAGAAAAACATTGTTTTATGCAATTATTAAGCATATATATTTTCATAGTCACTTTGCAAATATTCGATGATCGGTAATAATTTGTCGGTAATTATCGGATGCTGAAGAAAACCATACAACGGTATATGTATAAAGTAGAATTACAAATAGAATTATAATCATATCACTTGCTTTACAAGCCTCGATGACAAGGTGTTAGATTTTAAGTTAGTTTCAAATTGAAGACTGTAGGTTCGATAAAGTGTTTTTTATGTTTTCTTTTATAATACTTTTTGTATTTTGCAAAACTTGACCGTTTATCAAAATTATAAAATAAAAAAGTGCTAGAAATGAAACACACGATTTATCAACTTATGTTTCATAAAGTTAAAAGATATAATAAAAATCAATTTATGAAAACTACACACAGGATTTGTCCGAGATTCGAACTTGCGCCTACTACATGTAGGTTACAACTTCGTCATACTTACCACTAGGCCATCGAGCAGTATTAATTGATATAATTATACATGTAATTATACTTACAATAAAATCGTTAACATTAATCACAATAAGTTATGTAAGCAAACGAAACAGCTCCCGAAAATTATTGAGTCTCGGGTAAATATTGCCAAACAATACTTGCTTATTGAATAATGATAACAGTTTCTTGACAAATTTGCTAAGCAAGTTTGCTTCAAATATGATGTTTTATTACAACATAACATAAATTTTTTGCATAAAACTTTCAGCAAGAAAGATATAATTGTGGCAAGTAAATGAAAACGTGTTTATGAATAAACATTACTCAACTTAAAATTATTGTTCCTCTTTTCTTTATACTCGAACCATTAAACTGATATTTTCTTTTATTTATGATAATACAATCATATTTCTATCCGGCGACTTGATGCTTTAGCATCAAAATCTCTACTTGTCTTTATTGAAGGAAGTTATGATATCAGTTCTACTTCCGATTCGTGTGTTTTGTTTACATAATTTTCGAGGTCACGATATGAGTTAACCTTCGCCATTCTAAAAATAGATTCTGCTTTACCTGACAGTAGGGAGTACACATTATACATGTAATAAACCAGCGGATACTTACTTTGTTCACATGCAATACTTTTAGAAATTCTATACAATTGTAAGAAGCAAACAAGTTGAAAATGGAATTTAGTCTGAAAATGAAAAGGACAACTAAACACTGTAGTGCTTAAGTGACATTTAAATTAAAATAAAAACGATGTGCTCTGGCCCTTTTAAATAAAAAAAATCTAAAAAATACACTATTAAATGCTGATGATTTTAACCAAAAATATTTTTAATGAGACGTAGATCTACATATCCAAGAGAAATAAAAATACAAATGACTTATATTTTATTGTCTATATGCCCACTATGTTAAACACGAAGCAATTCTAAATAACATTCTCACATGTATAATGTATTATGCTTGAAGTTTACTTGCATGGTTTTATTTTAGAAATATTTCGTTGACAGTTTTTTTTTCTATTTACATATCATTTCTTGGAATAAATCGATAATGACACTGAGCAGAGTTTTTAGGCATAAATTTCATTCTGTATTTAAATGCTTGAAAGTAGAAAATCTGGATTATGTCAGATTGGGACACAAAATATATTGCTCTACAAATCTCGAACTTGTATGGAACAAATTTTTTCTGTTATATATTTTGTGGTTTTTTTTCTAAAAAAAACTTAAATGTCTCTCCGGTTGCATGCCCGTCGCTTTCAGTGCTGCAGCATTTTGATTTCTCATTGGAGGGGGTACAAATATTTCGTGTGCCTGAATCCAAATGTTTGGATGTACCAATCAATTACATGTTATTGAGCTTAGATAATAGGTTGATGTTAGTGGTTGTACAAAACTGTGGAACCAACGGAATATTAAATTTCCATGTTGTTTTGACCGTTTAATTATTCAGAGTTTACCATTCACATAGAGGGAAACATTTTTCGCAATGCTTTTGATTTTTAATTTGAGAAATTGAACAGCGTAATTGAACAGGTCTTTAAAAATGTCTGATAGACTGGATTGGAGGCCTCTGTACATCTAACTGAATATTTTGTCTGGTAACCAAAAAAAATGATATACTTCAAATATGTCAATAACGTAATTGTATTAAATGTTTGCTAATTTTAATCCTGATCAATATAATCAACCCTATATATAATATAGAACATAATAGCAGATGGCAAATTTAAAATAACTTGATAATAATAGGATTGTTACAAAAGGAATGAATTGTAGCTTTTTAGTCAAATTTCAGTAGATCTAACACTATTTTGTAACAACAACAACCTGTTTGGATACATCCTTTACGGTGATTCTTCCGTCAAATTATCTTCAAATGTTCGAAATGGTTTGCCATGTTATGCCTTCTACAACGATTAAGTAACATTTAATATAATAACGTTGATGCGTTAGTCAAAATTTACATATAATTTAAAGATTAATAATTGTAAACGTCCTGATCATTTTTTAAACTATTAATCCGTTTTACGAAAATTGCTATAAGTATGGAAATCGACGAACAACTTTCTTACGTCAGTTAATACCATAAGTGCAAGCGGTGCGGCAACAAAAATGACGCCTATAAACCCAACAAACTTAGATGATTGACGTTTGTCTTCAGCACTTGTTAGTCGTCGTTTATGTGATGACGTCGATTTTACATCAACCGTTAAATTTTTAACAATTTCCGCAGCAACCTGTTCCACCTGTTCAAACGTTATATTTTGGGTTTGTGTCGCAGTTACAAAAGCAGTAACTGTCTTGGTTGATATTTCTATGGCGATAGAATGAATCATTTCAGTTGTTGTTTTTGTTGACACTTCTGTCGTGGGTTTGATAGATATTTTTGTAGTCGTTTCAGTGGTCATTTCTATTATGGTGAGGTTTGTTGTAAGCGTAACAGTGTCGCAAACAGGAACACCCAGAGACGTCACCAAAGATACATTAGTTGACGATGGCTGGACTTAAGTAAAAGAGAAAAAAATAACTTTTTTTTTTTTAATTCCATATGTTTGTAAAATGTGATTTATGTTTTATTCAAACTGAAAAAAAAAATCTAGAATGCTTAATCGTTTTTGTTGAAATACATAACATTAATCGGTAGAGGTATTACATTAAAATTATTTAATGTAGTTTAGAGATAGATATTGGAGTTTTAAAGCATCTGTAGATAGTAAATGTAAATTGCATTGATGCGTGTAATAAGGTAAAACTATACATTTACTACACTATTTTAGAAAATATAATTGAAATTAAAAAAGAACTATGCTCACTAGAAAAATTCCCGCATGAGGCATTGGGTATATCATCGTTGTTTGACTGATCATCATCAACTGATGTCTCATTTAAGGTCACTATATATATATATATATATATAAAAAAAACATACGTTAATGATTACATATTTTATTTATATTGATTAACGCAAACTGAAACAAAAAAGAAATCATCATCATCATCATCATTATTATTTTAATAATAATAATAATAATAATAATAACTATAATGATAATAATAATAATATTTATAATAATAATTATTATTATAAATATTATAATTATTATTATAATTATTATTATTGTTATTATTATTATTATTATTATTATTATTATTATTATTATTATACAGAAACAGTTGTTCGCATTTATAACAAAAATATTTATATACAACAATAAAACCTTTCAAAGATTCTTTATAACGAATCTATAATACAGCTAACTTCCTTTATTTAAGAGTAAAAATAAAAGTTCTTCATGAATTGACAGCAACCGTGTATTTTAATTAGATAAATGTCTCGATTATCCAAGTTACGTTATAAACGTGCAGTATTTGCTTAATACCAAATGAGACTAAACGTGTCTTTGTCGAATGTTAGGCATTTGATTATCAGTTACATATTAAGTATTGAACAAGTATATTTCGCTGCAAAACAACCTTTTTGTTTTCTCGTTATACCAAAGACATCTGCAAAAACATAACCTAAATTGAACAACATATTATTATTTTGATTTGACCTTGGCTTACACTTTTAAATATTTATTTTGAAGTAAAATTTTATGTACACAAAGGTACAAAAATATTCTAAGACTGGATATCACAACGCATTCGAGAAAAAGAAAAATCTTCTTTAATTTGATTTTCATTTTAAACATGCATTAACCGAATTGTTGCTAGCACATATGCTTGTTTTCAAAATAAGAATAATTGACATTGTCTAATTTAGAAGAATATTTTTTTTTGCATATGCATCTGTTATAAAGTATTATACCTTAACTAGTATTTCTATTATGTATTAGGATTTCTATAATATTGTTCTATGATTCAATATTGACCTATATATTGAGTACAATCAGCAATTAATTATCATAAATCAGTTATTTTCTTATTTCAAATACGACTATACTTACCATTAAAACAGAATTTTGATTTCATTGTAAAACCCTCGACACCATGTCCTGGAACAGCGAGTTGTACACAATTGTTTGGCACGTACTGTATCGCCGCCCAGCATTTCGGATCATTCCGACACAAAGACTCGCACCCTGTTATACCTGGCGTAACAGATAACACCTCGCTATCAATAACTCCAACGACGTCACAAGTTCCTGCTGTGAACGAAATCTTTTTTTAATTAATAGATTATTTTTTTAGATAAAAAAAATTTGTCCAACACAAAAACATTACAAATGCGAATATTTTCTTACTTACTAACTAATATTAATATAGTTCACTAACACATGTCTATTCCGACAAGTTAAATACAATTAACTTACACATTTTTCCTTTGCCCTTATAAACATGAATATTTATGAACAAGTAGATATATGGCTTCATAACAACCCATCGTCAAGTTCACCAAGGATAATCATATACTTGTAAGTACTTGGTAAATAACTTAAAAATCTCATATTTTTATTAGGGCTACCACGGCATCTAATGGCAAATTATAAGATGAAACATTAAAAACTCATTTGTATTGTTTCTCTCATCATTTTGTTATAAATGTTAAGGTTATTCTTACATGAAGGAACTTGACATAAGATGGCCTCTACTTCAGTACATTTTCTATGATCTGCAGTGTGATCACGTTTATGCCTCATACATCGTTTATTAGGATCAAAGGACTGGAGATAATGTGTTGTTAATGTCAAATTCTTACAGTCTGCGACCCAAAAACGCTCATTCGCACTCATCTCAACTAAACCAACCCAATACTCTTTAGTACTGCAATTATAAATCTCAAATGTTAGTCAAGTGATAATGGGTGTAGCCACACATACATATATATTTCAAAATTAGTGTAAATATTACTTCAGGCTTTTAAAATGGCAAGTGTTTAAAATCAATAAAAAAATATCATCTAAACATCAGATTTAACATTTGAAGAATATTTTAACAGGTTTTGGCTGTGACTTTAACAATATCATTGTTGGAGAGAATAAATACAAGTTTATCTTCATCAGAGAGGTCAACAAATTCTGGCCGTATGTTACGAGCTTTTTCTAACATAGGTAACCTAATGTGCTCATATGCATTACAAGATAATAATACATATTTTCACATTCAACTGTAATTTTACATATTGGACATATCCTACTGTCAACAGCAATGTTTTCATATCTACCAGTTTCAAGATTTATGTGAGCTACTCCACATCTGAATTTCGCTAGTGCAGACATGTGTACGTGGCAAATATAGTTTACAATAATGTTCAGTTTTATAATCATTTTTTAACAACTTATAGGTTCTTAATTTATTACCACCGTTCCCATTTAGACTTTACCACCGTTCCCATTTAGACTAACATTCCTTAGCTTAGCTATCCATTCATCTTCATATAACGACATACATTTTTGAACAACTTTTTCACACGAAGACTTCGACGAGACTGTTACACAACCACGTGCAAACTCTTTTCCATATGATTATTAAATATGAATTGCCAGTTTTTACACCTATTACTGCTCTTGCGAAAACAAGTAGAAAAGATCGTATAATTAACTTTATTTACATCCATTCTAACAAATCTATGCCATTGTTGACACACAGATCTCCATTGTTTCACATGTGTAGGCTGCCAAGGTAATTCTCCATATAAAGCTGCTGTAGGTGTATACGGCACTACCCCCAAATAAAAACGCATTGCCCTAGCAGGGAAATGACTTATTACCCCAAATAGAAGCACCATATGAAATGACTTGCCAACCATTGAATCATACAATTTAACAAAAACATCATATGGCATGGACACTAATGCTTTCGATTTCGCAATAAGTAACCCAAGTGCTCTACCTGCACTTTGAGCTATACATTTAGCGGTCTTATTATAGCCAAGAAAACTCATCAAGTAACAGACCAAGATCATCTATAAACAAATTAAACAGTAAAGAAGATAAAAAAAACACCCATGTCGGACCCCACATTTTACATCAAACCATTCTGTTGTAAGGCTATTTATCCTTACACAGGATGAAACTGAGTTATATAGTGACTGTATTGCCTGTAACATATTACCATGGATACCTTTACTATCTAATTTGTTCCATAACAATGATCTGTCGATAAAGTCATATGCCTTACGGTGATTAATGAATGCACAAAAGGTTGACAGTTTCTGTTTCTTTCTAGTTTCTACAATATTAGTTAAAGATGACCAATGATCAATGGTACTGGGACCTTTCCTAAAACCATTTTGATCATCACTGAGTATATTGTTAGATTCTGCCCATTTTGATAAACGGTTATTCAAAATTGTACAGTATATCTTATACATGCTGCTAGACAATGACAAGCCTCCATATGAAAATGGATCTCTTGGATCGACAGTACTTGATTTCGGGATAGGGCTTATGATTATCTTATTCCATGCAGAAGGAAATTTTCAAGATTTCCATAGGTATATTATCACAACCCCAGGCTTTACCATTTTTAGCCTATTTGACCGCATTAAACACTTTTAAGATAGATATATTGTCGTTTAAAATTTCTGTATTGTCATTCATATGATTGCCACTAGATACAAAATTTCAAGTATTTGTAGTATTAGGACTATTAAAAAGCTTGCTAAAATCATTTTTCTATTTCTCAAGAACAGTATTGACATCATTTGAAACACCATGTTCAGTAATAACTTCCATAGGTATATGTCTACTTCTTGACTGTGAATCACCTACCCTGCCAATGGTTTTCAAACATTGACATGAATTCCGGCGGATTGTTCCGCATGGTTTTCACATGAATTCCCCAAATGCACAATCCATGATAATTCAGAATGATCCGGAATAGACACAGCAGACAAACCATTCACTGCACTTATCTCATCTATAAGCTGTGTAGACATTTTGACTGAAAATCTATGCAAATACTCGTACTGAACTAAGCAATAGTCCACTACAGAACATCCTTTAGTGAATACAGAGATAAAATCATTGTTATCATTATTTCTACCATTGAGAACACTCATGTTACTGTCAATAAGAAAATCTATTAAACAATCACCATACGAAATTGACTTATAATCAATAATATCTCTTTCAGGTAAATTATCAACACCAACAATGTTATCAAAATTATCACCAATGCGACTATTTAAATCCCCGCACATGAATACTCGTAACATGCCATCATTTTTAAACAGATAGATACCAGCTTAAAGATTGTCATAAAAATCCTGTACATCAGTTTGTCTTGACGAATTAAGTAGCATACACAAGCATAAAATTTTTCATTTCAAATTTCAACCATAAAACTGTCATCAACAATATTTATGTCAAACAGATTTAATAAATCTTCTTTATTAAGAAAATCCACACCCCCTGACCCCGATCTTGCATCAACATGAATATTTTTTTTCTATTATTTCCAAACCAGGGGTAACCAGTAAAATATATAGCATCATTATTTTTACGATGAGACTCAGTTATATCTAAAATATCAAAATCTAAAAATAGAGCACATTGTCCCCTAACGTAAAAAACAACACTATTTTGCACAACACTCCAACCATTTTCGTTTCAAAAACCTATCCTGGCCTATATATTCTTTGATGCTATCCTCGTTGTTGGTAACCACGACCTCTGGCTTGTCCTCTTCCCCTTGAACCCTGTCCCTGTCGACCACCATTGTTCACATCTTGTCTATCTGGCCGCGAGGTGCCAGCATTAATATTAGAAGACCTACCACCACGGCTGTCACTATGATTTGAATCTCGATTTCTACTATTATCACTATTTCTGTGCATTTCATAATTTGAATTGCAGCACGATTATCGCGATTATCACTTTTTATAAGATGAAATAAATTTAGATAATTTTTTTGACAAACGCATCTTAATCTTTTTAATTTATACATGTATAATTAGGTATTATAGCTAAAATGAACATACCGCTTGTGATGTTTTAACCAGAAAATGAGAAGCGTTCCTAATTACTAAAGCTTAATTGACTGTAACCAAATGTCACCAAACACGCATTTCGTAATGCCATTCTCTTGCCTTTTATTTGAATAACAATAGATTTCACCACAAACAACGACAAGTGATTTTTTGTTAACAAATATGTTGTGATGAAATTCATATTGTATGCCCTTATCTGAGAATAGACAAATTAGAATTAGACGTTAGATAGATAAGAACAGTGCAAAAATGCGATGACGACAATGAGACAGTGCGATAACACGATGGCAACAGTCTGGTACCGCAATCGGTACAACGCGATAGTATTGTCGCAACATTGTATTGTGGCCATTGCATTATCGCACTGTCGCCATCTCATTATCGCATTGCCGCTATTACACTTTCGCATTGTCGCATTATCGTACTGTCGTCATCGCATTATCGCACTGTCGTCATCGCACTATCGCGCTGTCGCCATCGCACTGTCTTATTGTTTTCATTTCACTATCGCATTGTCGTCCTCTGGATTATAAAGTATAACCACGATGGCCTAACGGTGTATGTAAGACAAGTCGTGTGCTTTAAATCACGTCATTGCCGCGCCTTTATAAATGAATTGTGTTCTTAGGATGACATCATTTTACCGTTGTGAATGAAGTTGTAAGTACATTATGCTATGCTACTGTAAGAAACAAGAATTATTTTAAAAAGATATTCTTGGCCTTAACTAGCATATTTTAGTTTTTAGTTTTCCATGCTTAGTCGTGTAGAAACGTTAACATAGCTTACATAACAATGACGTAATAATTACTTGTAGGGGTTATATATCTTGAAAAATGGAACAGTTACATATGTATATGTTTCTGATCAATACTGTCGTTTTTCAGTAAGTGAACTCAATTTCTAACACGCAGTCAATTTCTATCAACGCAGTCGGAAAGGCAATTATTTTTATAAATACTTGATTAATGAACAAAAATATATAAAATTTATATCAATTGAACATATAATATAGATTTATCTATATTTCTAAATAATTTACAATATATTATATCCGTAGTTCTCTTGTGCTTTCCATACAATATAATCTCTGATAATATCAGAGTCTATTGATGCTAAATCTCCGCCTATACTTTTACACACAGCTCTGGCAGCACTCCATACTATCTGCTGTGGGTAGTAAACAAAATTCAGGGAGCTTTGATATTGACCCAAACCTGCAAAATATTATAACAGAGCTAATATATAAGCAAAGAAAATCCCTATTTATTTAAAACATAAACGGAAAGGATATATAAATGTTGCACTGTCAACTTTGTTTTGGTATGTCATTGAATAATCTATATGAAATGCCATCCATTGGGATGGGTCATGGGCTACGAGCTGATGGAGATGTTCTATGTATATATATATATATACATCATCATCTTCACGTTCGTTAGCGTCATAGCATTTCATGCACATTTAGTACAAATGTAAGTGGTCTATCGGTTTTATCTTAAATCATTGCCCATAACTTATTCAGACTAAATGCTAACATTTAGTTTAAACACATTAGTTTTAATATATTTTCATTTTTTATATCATTTTTTTACATATTTGATATTGATACAGCTATAACTAATACATTATTGAAAAAGATAAAAACAAATGCTGACATTTAAATAAAGATAGCCAGGCAAAAAATATCTTCATACAAATCTTTTAAATACGGTTAAGATTATAGTGTTTATTATCATTATTTCATTTTTCAATTTTTAGATCAAAACTTTGACTATAATAATAATAATAATAATAATAATAATAATAATAATAATAATAATAAATTGATATCATTATAAGATGTGTAAAGGCATACAAAAATAGATTTTTTGAACTTAAAAATAATATAATTGTAAATCTAACACCTTGAATAACACAAATTTTAGCTACAATTATAATAAATTATAATAAATTCCTTAAAATATAATATTCTTTTACCTTCGAATTGCGGGAATGCGTTTTCATTTCCTCCGCAAAGTGTGAAAGTGACAAGTAATATCAAAATATATTCCATTATTTTTCCATTAATGACGTAATTTGAAATTTGCAATAGCATATTCAAATTGTTCTACTCTTAATTATAATGAGAAAGGTTTTTGTAAATCCGTTGGCAAAAATTACTGTGTTAACTTATTTCTAAAAGATAGTGTTTTATTCATCCTAAATGCAATGCATAAATGTATATATATATATATATTAATTTAAATGTTGATTATAAAGTAAGGTCGATATGGTACACGTATTCAAACAGCTGGATTCTACAATGATAAATATCATTGGCTTATTTTCGTTTTTCTTTTATGAATCGATATTCATAAAAGAGAATTAATTAATGCATAAATGCAAATAAACTAATAAGCACTTGAAAAGAAATGTAAATAAATTGTAAGCTTTCACATACATTTATACGTATGCCTGAAATTTTAATTGGCAGCACAAATATTGAATTTTACACTGAAGCTTAATTGTCCAGTATTTTTAATTTATCCCTCAGCAATAGATGTATATAACAAGCAATGATTTTACATTTATACGCCTTTTTTACTTTTTTCTGATTCTCGTTTTCTTTTAATTGTGACAGAGAACAAAATGAAATCAATTCTTTAGCTATACAACATATTTGAAAAATGGAAAAGTGGCAAAATTGAAAATGTTGCAGACTCGGTTCATGGAAGACATGGTAAATGCATTCAGTTATCCACAGCCACTGGCACCGGTATAAGCAAAGCTCAATATTAAATTTTTCCAGAGATGTGGCTATTCAGCGGTGGTCATGTGACCTCAAATGAGACATTCCATGAAAAGCGGAATATGGTCCTCTAGTACAAGACAATCTGTGACCGAGAAGACATAGACAAAACTAAATTAAATGAAATTTTGAGATATTTTAAGATATTTTAAACCTTTGTAACACAAGCAGCTGTCAAAAGACACATTTAAAAGGCATACTATATTATACATGTATTAGTATAAAACAAATGTTATGAGATATTTTAGATCATTTAGGCTATTTATTAAAAAACATAAAGTCCAAAATCATATGGGTTATCAGATTTACAAGAGAAGGACAGAGGTATTTGTCCCCAAATGTAAGAGGGGATATCAGACAATGCATATGCAGACGGTAAATGATAATTCTTCACAAAAACCGAAAGAAGCCTCTACTGTTCCCCGATTAAAGGGCATATTACAAGCTTGACAATTAGACAGATCTCTTTATCACTCTTTTAAACGGAGCGTGCTAAAAATAACAGTCGGTGTTACACATAGCTGCCAGTATTTGCCGATAAGATTCAAGATCCTAACGTATAAAGAACTTGAGAACAGGTGATCCCTCGGAAGCATTGATTGCAACAAAATTACATGAAAAATGCAGACTCGGTTTTGTTGAGTCTGTACATGAGGGATATTGAAAAACGCAACATCCCTCACGCACCTTAGCACCGGCCTGAGCTTCAACACTTAAAAGCTCTGCAATCAATGATCCCGAAAGACCATAAAAATATAACATCACAAAAAATATACTGTTTTTCTGAATAGCTTAATGTTTTGATGTTGTTTATGCAGACCTATTACAGAGTATTGTGTATAAATATGTTTTAAAATTAGAACTCGATTTTGTTGCCAAAATATCTATAAGATTGGTCGGTTATTTAAATAGTTATGTTGGTTTATACTTTTAAAGCTAATCACATGTTTGGTACGAAGTTTTATTTATTAATTTTACCAATGTATTAGCAACTGTTATATAAACAAAACAATTCACTAGTCATTTACTTTCTATTTTTTATTATTCATGCATTTTTACCAAACTTGATAGTCTTTGTTTTCATTTCAATAAATACCAAAACATATAGACATAAATAAATAGTATTAAATGTTTGCAATTTTAATAATACCCACAATTATAGCCTGCCCTCGTCTTGGGTTACATAAGTACGTTTTATTTCTAGAGATGTTAATAGATAATAAAAATCCATCTATACCCCAATTTATATTGTTCTACAGTCGGGCTCTATATAAGAATCGGTTTATTTTTGTTTATTGTTTTTCTTTGTTGTTGTTGTTTTTTCTTTCAAAAAAAATCACCCAAACTAAAAATATCTTTCTGATACAGATCATTGTAATTATACGTGTGCTATGAAAAGTAATACATTATGGATATGTTATGTAGTACTTAAGTAGTACAAAAGATACCGCAGAGGTAGAGCTGCAAACTTCGTAACTTGGTACTAGAAACAGATAATTTCATGTGGTACGATTAAACAATAATAACTGTTAAACTACATATCATGCAGGCTAACGATTATGGCGACAAATAATGAAAACAATTTAATCTAAGAAATTTGGTCCTCTTTGTGCTATTAAACTTTGAAATATTGAATGTCATCACATTGTATTATGATACAAAAATAAAAGTAAATATTTAAATATTTATACAACAAGTTCGGCTTATAAATTCAATATATGACGAAAGAAAGAAAAAAATATAGTGAAAAAAGAGGAATAAAGATTTTAACTGTACTAATTTAAATGAAACTTAAAACTTAAACCGAGTCTGCAATTCTCTTGTAATTTCGTTGTGATTTATGTGATTAATGCTTCCGAGGGATCACTTTGTTTCCAGATTTTTATACTTCACAACCTTTTACAGCTGTAAAGAGTTGCCCTGTACTTCACTTCAGTGTTGTTATATTTTTCTGGTCCTTCTGGATCATTGATGCCAGCACTATTAAGTGTTGAGAATTGAGTACCGCTCAAGCCTGTGCTAAGGGCGTGAGAGACGTTGCACGTATTCATTATCCCTCATGTACAGACTCAAATAAACCGAGTCTGCAATTTTCTTGCAATTTTGTTGTGATAAATGCTTCCGTGGGATCACTTTATTTCCAGATTTTAAGGTATTCGGATGTTTTAATGAAATACAAAATATACCATCAAAGAAGTATATTGCCTATGTAGGTGAACCGTTTTAGAGACAAAACTATGAATATACATTTCTAATACTATGACATTGATAAAACCAGGTCATATGGGTTGGGTTCAAGGATTTTATATTTAAGTCAATTATCTTTTCCCCTATTTCACGTTCTCTGTAAATAGTTGTTCTACATAGATGAACTATTTTGTCAAGTCATTCAATGTTTTTTATATTGATAAAGTCAGAGTATATGTGACGCGGTCATCACAAAACGGGCCTATGTTATCACACCTAAAGATTTTCCGTTTAATAAAAATACCTAAAACAAAAGAAATGATCGATATTTTTCCAACATTTGAAGTCCAAACTGATCGCATTTACCTGCATCTAGAATCAGGTGATCTAGATACAGTAGCATCCAACACCTCTGATAATTCTGATCCAGTTTGTGATAAATTAATGCATTTATCGTTACAAAGGCTGACATTTGAAATGTTTGGAGATCCACAGTGCCATAGAAAACAGACACCGAAAAAAGGAAAGTATTTAGCAACCTCTTCTATTTAATATATATTAATCGATCGAAACAAAATCATGTTACATAGTAGACAGTTATATACGTATATAGTGACTATAACTTGTTAAAATTGGCAATACAAACAGTTTCTGGATTTCAAAAGTCTGTTGAACGACTCAAAGGAGACACTGTATCAAAATTACATATAAGTTATGTAATAAGTATGATCAATAACACTGTCATTAACCGTTGTATTTAGCCTTTAAAGCACACATGGCTTGACTTATTTATGGCAATATTACTAGTATATAGGTCAATCTACAATGTTTGTACATAAATAAACATGTGTTAATAGTATCATCATTGACGCGTAATAATGGGTAAATTATCATGTTTTTCCAGTAGTACATTCCATATTTAAGATAGTTTTCTTTATTTCAATGAAGCAATTTAGAAAAGTTCACTACGTATTACAATTTTACTATCGCTTGAGATATTCTTTATATTCATGAAAAAAAACAACATTGAAATCGGTCAAGGTCAAAGCAAAAATGCTTGTCAAAGTCAACGGTTAAGATTTTAAAAAAATGACAAAGTAATTTGTCTATAAAAATATACAATTCATCAGTCTATTTATAAATTATTCTACGAATAATATACTTGTCTTAATATGATATACATTGTGAGATCACGTTTTTTATCACGTAAATTCTAAAAGAAACTTCAATGTGAAGGTCTTACAATTTAACTTGAAGCGGTCTTGCTATTAATTAGAAAGTGGCATTATTTATTTAGGGCGTGCATGATCAAATAAGTTAAATAATTTCAACAGTTTGTGGTAAAACTAATTTATTTTTTGTGATCGAATAATTGAATTTAAAGCGCTGTTACTATCAATAAATATTATTCTCTCCAAACATTAAAATCTACAGGGTATGACATTTCGTCATTAAACATTTGTAAAATGTATCAAAACTTCAAATCGAAATGTCGATCTGTTGAGCAAAAGCAAAAGATTCACAGCGGTAATTTAATTTTTGTAACTTATCGTATGAACATATTATTTGAGAACGAATATGTACAATAAAGAGAGAACTATTTTACATAAGTTGCAAAACACTTTGTTTTTATTACATTATTCCCTTAAGTGACTTTGCAATAGAATGTTACTTAAAATTTTAATGAAAATTGTGGGATGTAAATAGTACAATTATTACGAACAATGAAACATTTTGGTACAGTAAGAACAATGAAAAGTGTGATAGTATTACAAGCAGTGATTGTTTTGTTCATACCAAATTGTGGAGTCTGTCTGGAGCTCGTGCTACCATACTTTACAGGTAAGCCCGGGTTGATGATATTTTGGAACACCCGTTAATCTATCGCGTGATGTCAAAAAAACAATGTATGCAAAATAAGTAACATATGTTTTTCCTTTACTTTCTATTTACTTTTTGAGAAAACTTAAGTGTAATATGATAATGAGATTGTTGAACAAGATATCATGAGCAATAAAAAAACACTGCCATACCATAATTATCAAATTTGGAATTACATCATCAGCACAAAATAATAATTCTCGGCAAATAAATCGTGTACATTTTACTTTCATATGATGGAATTGACACCTTATTAAGCCGATTATATAACTGTGAGATAAAATCAAATCAATTAACATCTCAAAACAATTACCTAATTCTTGTTTAGATTTTGAAAAAAAAACCCGCTGAAATACGAGGAGTGTTCAAATATGAATGTATATCAATAAGCACGTAAAATGAATGGGGTATCAATGTAAAAATAACTTTCATATGCCCGTATTTTTTCACTCAATATTTTGTGTCCGCCATATCCGACCGGCTTATCTTAACTTTTTGTGTTCGAAGTCACCTTAAGTAATTAAATCACTGACTGTCAAAAGAATGCTGCTAATTCATCTTAGGTACATTTTTATTATTTTTAGTTTATTTGGATATGTATATACATTGTTGCGTCGATATTCATGAAAACATTTTAGCCGCGTCTAGTAAATGCTGTGAAGTCATATTGTTTGTTATTTGTAATTGCAATAGTAATATAATATATATACTAATAACTATTGATTAGCAAAATGATTTTTGAACAAAGAACAAACAAACAAAAATTGCGGAAAATTGAACGAAAAACGTTAATTATGGACAAGGCTCTTGCAAATTTACGGTTCCTACTTCCTTAAAAAAAAAGATAAATTTTAGCATTGTCTGCGTTAGCGGATTTTTCTTCAGTGCTAAATCATCACTGGCTGAAATCTAGATCAACACCTAGTCATGTTACGACCTACATCTTCCGTTATTCACTGCTGTCTTGCAATTTCTAAATTTGCTGATGTGTCGTAAAGGACTGCCTTGGTCAATCTCCATTTCACCTTTTGCCATAGAATCGCACCCTCATTATAGTGGTTTTCATGCTTTAACTGTTTAATTATTGTTTATGAGCTTATCTTGATAGTTGTGGTTGACAGATAGGAATGGTTTGACATGTTTTATGAACCATCCTGCAACTCATAGAACCTGTTGCTGTTGTTTGTTTAGTGCCTAGTTGCATATGATGGCCCAGCAAACCTTTGTGGGAATACTGACAAGCTTCTTGGTGCCTTCCACCGAGATCTAAATATCTAGAAGATAGGTAAAGATTCGAGTATCTTAACTAAGATTCAAACGACAGAATACACTTGGTTGCAGGTACATCTTGTATACATTTACTTGTTTATGCAAAATATTGGCATATTTGGTATCAAAAAATACAAACTGGAATTTGATTATCATCAGAAATTTTGATAAAATTTTTAAAAGCTTTAGGATGAAAGGGTTTTAGCATAGTGCCTTTGGCAAATAAAAACGTTTAGCGGATTCAAAAAAATTTTGAATAGAAATCATTTTACACCCCCAGTAATAGGCGTTACTCAGGTCCATATGCAGTTTTGATTATTTGAATAACCCCAAAATTTTCGTTATGGGCCTAAGGGGAAAAAAAGGCTTTAACAATTTTGTAACTTTTTCTTTTCATCCCTTCGCTATTGACACAAAAATTACCAAATTTCAATACAAGTTAAAGCAATATATGGTCAACACATTTTTTTGCAAATACATGTATTTACTTGCCACTATTTTCCTTATGTATGTCTACTGAATTTCCAAGTAACCATGTGGACACTTTCTTTTGCAACTATGTCTTAGTACCTGTAACTGTCATATCCTTGACTTTCATAGTAGCCAATAATTAAAGTGAAAAGGTATTTTGGTGTTAAGATCGATAGAAATGAATGGTTTAGGAGCTGCGTCTTGTGAACATTGCCTTTGCCTTGTTGATCTTTGTTCCTTAAAGAGCTTGTTATAATGTGAGTATTCTGTTTTGGAGTGGCTGATGACGGAATAATTTTGACGGGTTAAACTTTTCTATGCCTGTTTCTAATGAGCGGAGGTGTGTCTGCCAAAGTTCCTCTACATAATTACTTAAGAAATTATGCAAATCTTTTATATGTGATCTGAGATCATTCCACATCAGTACCCGCTATGCAAAATCTGCTGAGAAACGGTATCCCCTTTGCTCTTGCACAGGTCATTCTCTGCTGTAAACAAAATTTGCGGCGGACAAATAATCCAATGTATGATCACCTCTCATGTCGTGTGAATTAGACATAAGTATTCCACGGAACACAAGAATGTTTTAGCTGTGTCTTTTTGTACTTCTTCGTTTCCATTTTTTAATTACTGCAGCTCCACAATAAGTTACACAATATTGCGTCATTTCACCACACCCGTCGCCTTGAAATGCTACAATATTAAAAACAAAACATAAACTTAAATATGTAGTCCGGTGTATGATCCATTTGCATCTTACAACAGGCAAAAACAAGGCAATCAATTAACATTTGTTTTGTCTAAATGATATACGCAAAAACAGTACTTTTTATGTCATGAAACGACGTAGAATGAGGTTCGTATTCAAATACATGTACATCAAAGTATTTCACCTTCAACTATTTTTGATACCGCTACAATAAACAATATGTAGAGTAATGAATGATGAATAAATGGATTAATGGATTATAAGTTATATACACATTATAATGTAAATTTAACATACTCATCATGTTTCCTTGCCTTGTAACCTAGTCAAGTTCTCCTAAATGAAAAATAACGTAACTAATCTCTTCCTCGAACTATAAACTATCTAGCCTTCGACTTTGTGAATGTAATAAATGCCCTTCATGATTTCCTTAACGGTGGCATTTAATTTTGTCATTGTCAGATTCACCTCGATTCATACCAACCTTCTTTACTTGATCAAATACCTTCTTTTCTGCATACTCGTCTGGTTTGCTTCTATTACCCTGGTGGTCAGGAAATGTTGTTTACACACATCCTTCGCTGTATTCAACAAGGTCATGGTGATTTGGCGTGTACTGATTTGACTGTTTTTAATTTACTTACTTTACTTTTCAAATGAAAAAAAAAACCATCGAAGTTTTTATGTCCCTTCGTACACTTATTAACAAATTTCCTGCATAAGATCATGAACTCCCCTTCTCATGCAAGGCGTTAAGCCGTCAGTGAATCATTCGATCATCACTGTTCATTAATGGTTCATAATGATATTCAGTGTTTACTTCTGTCTTAAAATAACACTTATGACAATATGGAGTGCTGACATCTTTATAAGGAATTTATAATACAGCAGAATTACTAGTACTTTATGACAGGAAAAAGGAAATAAAACTTCATAACATTAAAGCAGTAAAAAAATGATTATAAGAACTTCACGAAAATCCCATAAAAAGGCGATTTTACAAACATGAAGTATTAAACAAGCGACATCATAAGAGAAAAGTCGACTTTAACCAAATCATGACAAAACGAAAACAAAATCCAAACAATTACTGCGTACATGTTCAAGAAAATCAAGCAATAAAAAAGTAGTTATTTGACAAAACACTAATGAAACACACAATCATTGTAAAGTATGTTGAGCAATCTTGTAAAATATTTCATGAACATAATACTCCACTAATACTATTGTATACAAGTTTTCATTGTGTTGCCGATACCTCTTCAGTGCGATTTTCTGAAAAAGTTAAAAGATCGTCTGGACAGGAACACGAAATTTGGGTAGCAATTCTTGAGGGAAAATATATACCCATATATACAAAGTGACACAAGCAATACATGCAAGAATCGTAAACGAACCTGCAGTTTCTTGATGTTCGTCTTTGGCAAAAGGTGTCAAGTTTTCAAAAAGATCGCAATAAAAACAAACTGATTTCGCAATTTCTATAGTCACCACAGGAAATTTGTCATCTAAAGTACCAAAACATGTCATTGTGTGGAGGCCGAGCGTTTAAGGTCGTTGACTTCAAACCATTTGCTCCTCAGCTCTGTTTGTTCAAATCCAAGAATTTGATTCTTTTATGTGAGGAAGCTATCAAGCTAGCTTACGAAACGTCGTTGGTTCTACTCGGATGCTCGTTCGTACCTGAAATAATGCACTATACTAAGGACCACCTTAGGCCGTTCTCGACCAGTTGCCATATAACCTCTTCTGTGTTGGTGCGACGTGAAACACAACCAAAAAAATGGACGAAATTTCTATGAGATATTTAAAACAGATTTTAAGCAGTCTTGTCACCGAATATTTGTCAACATCATAACAGTCACTTGGTGAAACTACTTTCAAATAGTTAAAATAGCCCTTACTGCGTTAGTGACGCAGTAGAAATATTGTTAAAAATACTGGAAAATCTGTCATAAATCGCACATAACATGGCAAAATTTATTACTCTATCTTGAATCTTTTTACTTTTCTTAAAAAACGCCCAAAACGACAAAATTGAATATGTTGCAGACGCGGTTTAATTGAGCCACTGGAAAGTGCAAATTACAGTCCACGACCCCTAGCACCGGCTTTCGCAGAATTCAACCTTTTTCACACGAAAATGGTTGAATTTTGAATTTAGAAACATCCGCAGATATGTTCATCCTACAATCGGCAAAATATATATTGTTTCATAAAATGACTGATAAAAAACATGAATTAATTGTAACAAATAGTATATGTTTATCCTCGACTACCATTTTGCGAGTTCCAATGGTGTCTGTTACTGGCGATTTAATTGGCTATTTGTGATTCATAATTATGCAACAGCCTATGGAATAATTATCTAGAAAGCCTAATCTTCAGACGACAATTTCACAGGTGAAAATAACATTACATGTATAACAAGTAAAATGGTTTCCTGCGGGTAACATTTTTAATTCATTTAACTATTTTCAACATTGTTTGTGGGGGGGGGGGGGGGGATAAATAAACGTTTGTATCAGGAATATAGTTGACAATAATCGATCAATAAAGAAGAAGGCCTTTGGAAACTGGTGACCGTTGAAGACCGGAGAAGGTCGAACATAAAACAATTATTTCTTTTTAAGAAAATGATTAAATATGCCTACCATTTTATGAATAATTCCGAGCAAACAAAGAATAAAGCAAACACACAAGTTTACGCAGAAAATATCTCTATTTATTATGGCAGATGCCACTACGAATATTTTAATTTTGTAGATTTTCGGTATAAACAATTTATGGTTTGTAAAATTTGAGATAGATTTTAAAGAAACATTGATAATTTTCAAACACATCATTCAAGTTTTTCCACCTTAAACGGTAAAATAATTATAGAAAATTAGAAATATCACGTAATAGTTTTTTGTTCTTAATTAGGTGTAATTCGAACTAATTCCCTAGAGGTGAATCCGTAACGTACCGGCAAACGGTATTTAGCTAGGTTTTCGAAAAGGTCAATTAACCAATCATGTACGGTTTACAGATCACATGCTCCTCCATGTACCGAAAACAGGTCACGTGCTCCTCCATGCGTCAAAAGTTAAACGCGTACCAATACCCTGCGGTCTCCAGACCGCAGGGAATAAATGGCAGCTTATTGATCCCTTGTTTTAAGTCATACAGAGGAAAGTAAACGACGTGCATAATATAATGTTCATTTTCTGAGTTCTCTGAATACATTAATAAAATACCAAATACATGATACTATAATTTACAGGCGCATAATATGTCGTTTATAAATGCATGTAGGAAAGTCAAGCTTATACATAATATGTATAATATATATATAGTGGTAAAGAGCAACAGGTTTACAACTGATGCAAAAGATTTTGAAATTTGGAATTGTGATTCGGCCACCCTAAACTAAAAGAAATTGCTAAAGTTCTCTTGTTGGTGTTGCTTTCTAAGATAAAATTATCGGCAAGATGACCATTAATTTTGTAAAACAATGGTGTCATTTTATATTTCGCAGATGAGATGCAGCCAAACAGTATCATCGAGTACGTGTATTATCCGTTCGAGGTAGAATGGAGCGCTGCAAGGACTGTATGCCAAAATATTGGCGGGGATTTGGCAAAAATCGACTCGAAGAAACTTATGGACGCTATTTTATCGATTTCTATAGAAAATTATCAGCAGGATATTTGGTCAGTGTAACCTTAAACTTATATTAAAACAAGAAAGGTATTGTACTGAATACATATATTGTAAAAAAAACATATATCTTTCAAGGTAAACTGAAATTCTATGATACAAAATTGTTAATGATATCTTACATGGAGAAAATGGAAAAGATTTATCACAAACTGCACGTTTGATTCAAAATTTTATACTTTGTAAATAGTTAACTGATTTTAGTTATTTAGTTTTTCTTTTCTTTTTTTGTATACACTTAGGATTTTTTCTGTATCTTCAATTCCGTTCTTTTCTTTTTTTATAAATATGCCTTTATATTTTATGCTTTTGAGTGGATTACTGATTTATCCGTGCAAATTATATATTTGATAATTTCACAGTGAAAATTATCAAAATATAATTTAACATTTTTCAATAAAGAGACTATTTTTAAAGATTTTCCCCATGTGGCAACTCATGTTTATTTTGCACACAATTTCGACATTGCCAAAGCTGAAATTGGTAAATAACTTAATTTTCAAAAGTAATTAGATAGGAAAATTTTACTTCTATTCATTCAGTTTAACAATCACACAATCACACAAACATCGTCTGTAATTTTTTTTTTAATTTTAACAGTCTGAAAAATACATTTCCTTCCACATGCAAAACTGCTCTTGATGACGTTTGGGCATATTTAAGTATCTGTGATGCAATGTTTAAAACCAATCGCAATCACCAGGCTGAAGGATAAGTAAATAACCAAGCGTTTGTAAAATTGCCTTTCAAACAAAAATCCATGTTTTCCAAATTCCTAGTGGCTTTTAGAATGTTTACTCATCTGTCAACAATTATTTATTGTCTGTAACAACCCTCAAATAAGTTTTGTATAAAGAATTAAAAAATCTAAATAAAATCCCTCTGAATTAAACACGTTTTTTTTACTCTCAAGAAATACACAACTGTAAAAATGGCGGTATATTCAATTCAAAGGTCAGTCTAATATAAACTTCCGAAGCTCGGCTTGGTGTAACTTTTTCTTCTTTTAGAATTCGAGGGTTCAAATGTAAAAGATAATAACTGCCATTTTTGCCGAAAATGACTTTTTACGTTTTTATAATGTACTTATTGTCCTTTATGTCTGACGAAAATATTATAGAAATATTCAATCCTTATAAGGGCAAAACATTAAAAAAAATTTATTATAACTTCTTTTCTACAAATTATATATGGGTAAAAGGTTCTAAGTGTACTTATTACCTGTTGTTCCGCATGTTTTGAAGAATCTGAGGAAAAAAGTTATAACTGATTTTATCACCTTTTTCCTCTGAAAGAATACTGCATTTATACAGTTTACAGGCATTATATGTTATCTCTTTTCCCCAAGAATTTCACGCTAATTGTTTACTTAACGCCTTAGCCTGAGAGAATCTCTTTCAGCAGATTAATTATAACACTAATAAGAAAGATTATGTGTGGAATCCTTGCCATTTAATTATTTAATTGCTTGTGTATTGACGTTGAAATACACGACCAAGATCACTATGATGCTGAAGCAACAAACTTAAATGCCACAGACAGGGAAAAGATTGCTGATCAAGCTTGTGAAACACAACAAACCGCAGAAGCCTCAGAGAATAAAAGAACGCCATCAAAGCAACGAAAACAAAAAGAGTCTCCACTGAAGGTAACATCTCACAAAGATGCATCACATATTATATAAGCCCAAAACGTAAATATTTGAGTCGTAAACGAAGAGTCAGCATACATTGGTGGAAGCCAATATTAGAAAAGATCATCGGTCAAAAAGACAGAAGTATACAAGTAAAACAGGAAAATCAATGAAAGCAAGAATCGTAAAGAGAAAGGGTTGCTCTTAGTGTAGATTTAAATGCAGCGAAAATATAACCGAAGATGAGAGACAGAAAATATTCAGTACTAACTGATCCATGGGTGATTATAAAAGTCAAAGGCAATTCTTTTGTTTCCATATTGCCAAAAAAGAACCAGAGACGGTATATAAACAGAGAACAAAACAAAGACCTATTTCGAATTCGTTTTTCTTCACAGTTGGTGGCAAAATGGTTAGAGTGTGCAAATACTTTTTTCTAAAAACTCTCGATGTTGTTTCCAAAACAGTTGTAAACACAGTTAAGCACACAGTGGCAGGGTTATATGTTGGAAATCTGGTATTGAAGAAGTGACATTATATAGTGATACATATGGGGGACAGAATCGCAATCAGTTTGTTGCAAGTTGCTTAATTCACTGTGTCCAAGATATTCCTCACATTAAGTGTATAAACCACAAATTTCTCAGGAGTGGCTATTCAGAAATGGAATGTGATTCCATACATGCATCTATCGAGCATGCAAAAAGCCTCACAAAAGTACATGTTCCATCTCAGTGGGAAACAGTTACATCATTAGCACGCCGGAAGCAACCATATACTGTCTTTCCAATAAATACACTGACATACTAGATTACAAGTTGTAAAAAGAACAAAACTTTGGCTCAGTGAAAATCGATGTTGATGGAGAACGTGTTAATTGGCTGAATATAAAATGGATTCAAGTTCGTAAAGACAAAGAATACAGTGTTTTGTGAACTATGGTTTTGATGTTAGTGAGTTAAAGGAAGTTTGCAGAAGAAGGTCTCTTATGGCTCCACGCAAGGCTTATACAGAAAAGCTTCCAATATCTGCTGCAAAAAGGCTGATTTGATGTCACTTGTTGCCTCTGGGACAATTACGAACGAGTAAGAATCATACTATGAGACATTGCCATGCAGCAAATCTATAAAAGGCCAAGTCCAGTGCCTTCTGTTAGTGAGAGTGAAGAAGGTGAGTGAAGGTCATGGAATAATTAATCACAAACATTCACATTTTGTGACATACATGAAACAGCAGTTTTTATTTACTTAACTTTGATATGGGTCACTAATATCCCTAATTGCTGATGTCTGGGGTTTGTTTGACTTCAGTTCGATTATATACCAGAGAACATTCAAAATAAATGAAAATTTGTAAATTAAGATTTTAGTGGGTATATTCCTAACTTTTTAGTTTTCAATTTATTTCTGTAGAATCTAAATATTGAGCAGGTATATATTTCATATTTCTATGAATGAAAATTGTCAGTTTTGTTTTCGAGTATATGTGTGTTAATGACATTACGTAAGGTTCTCAAAGTAAGAACATAATTAATAAATTTGCAACAGTAACAATAACTGGAACATCTAAATTCTTTTCAGAGGAACAAGGCTATAGCTGCACTTATAACCTTTTACCACAATTTATCTGGAACCTTTATTGCTTTACCTTGAGAGGTAAAAGGTCGTAATTGCAGTTATTACCTTTTACCTCCCATCCATGTTGTCTTAACAGGATCTAAGTAGATCTACATTTATTAAATTTTACTTCTGTAAAATGATATTATTTTGATCTTAGAACTTTAAAACAAACTATTATAAGCACGAAGCAAGGTAAACTTAACAAAATATGATCTAATGTAGTCAACAAGTACGGGATAATCAAAATTGTTATAAAAATATTACGGAAAATAAAGTTGTATTGAAATATATGTTTTTAAATTTTTCTCGAAATCTAGAGACCTTTTACATTTGAACCCTCGAATTGTTTGTTTTAACTATTCAAACAAGTTGTTTTGCTTTGTATAAAATAGAAAATATCATCACCATTTAACGTTGATTTTTGAACTTATGATCTTGCCCAAAACTTCATGTCTTTATGAGAAATACGTCTGAAATTGAGAGTTACCAATGAGGAAAACAGATTTCATATTCAAATTAATATCGAGTAAATTTCATTTAAACTTGTATTTGAGCATAAAATAATAAGAAATGTGTTTTACTTTTGTGTAAGATGTTATTTTATTTCATCTCGTGAACTTCAAAAACAGTATTCTCATTTGTGGCTACGCCACTCGTGACACAAAAACAAACAAAAAATATCCTCTATAAAATCTTAATTTAGACTTTTGAGAGGTGAGTGTACTAATTCACCGGTCAAATGGAACCCGTAAATATGGGGGATAGTAATACATTGTCTTGCACTATTTTTGGCGCCAGAATAGTTTGGGTCAGTCATTTATAACTGGCAATGCAGAAGACCTTGCGGAAATCTGTATCATCAGAACTGTTCGAAATTCAGCAGGTTAAACGTTAAGAATTAAACTAGAGATATTGAGTATTTTGCACTGAGTACAATTTGTACAATATTGCATTATTATGTTTAAACTTAACAAGGGTGAATTTATTTTATTATTACATGTATTTATTTATTTTATTTTTATATTTTTTATTTATTTATTCTTTTTTTTTCACTTTTACAAAAAAGAAAAATAATTATTATTTGGTTGTTTATTTATGTCAGATAAAATATTGCTTGAATTAATCCAAACATGTGTAAGTGTAAGATATGTTGTTGCTAATGTTTACTGGTAAATTGACGTCACAAAGGTGTCTTGTCGTCATATATGTTGAGTACAAGTTGCATTTATTACATTATTATATAAGGTCATTCAAAAGAACCGAAATATAAATGTACATTTTAAATTTTGTTTACCGGGCGTCATTCACTACATTTTAATCACTACTATATGTATGTCCGAAATACATCAAACCTGAAATATCAGATCCTGTCCCCCAACGTGATACGCCCTAGCTGTAAACACTCAAATGTATTTATTTTTATATTTAAACGCGAATTGGTCACCTGTTACAACGATAAAACTGGTTTTCAAAACAATTTTTACAATTATGAAAAAATACCGTAGTCCATCAAGGTTCAATTAAGTACAGGATCTGACCCCAAACGTCTGTGGAAATATCTTGAACATTTAGAGCAAAAATATGGCGATATACCGGTATAACGAGGCAGCTTCAGCGATGCAAAAACACTCGTATATCGACAGTTTTTCTATATTTCTTTGATCAAAATATGCACTTACATATTTTGACATTTTCAAGCCTAATATATGTGTATAAGCCTTTATGAATTGCAGTCGCGTGTCGTTTCATCTAGAACAGACGATTATGACTTGTAATATTTCTTTCTTTATCTTATCAGATTCAGGTATTTGAAGTCGCCGCGCTAATAGAACTAAACCAGTAATGTTATAACCATTTATTTCTTTAAAAAATCAGTTGTCCGCGTTTACAATTATCATAACAATTATTTATTAAGAGGGCGAGTTTCACTCGTTTCAAATGGCTAATTTGGTACACATTTTTAGGAAAGTAAATCTATCTGTAAAATTCAAATCTGCAAAACTTCAGGAGAAGTTAGCTCAAAAATAAGAGACCAAGACGCCGCGACGTTAAAATTCTATTTGTTTTATGGTTTAAAAAATATATTAAGAGAGAGTTCTTAACATTTCCATTTCATTATTTTGAATATAAAGATTTTTCATAGTTTATCGAGCTTTTATAATTTTAAAAATAAAAAAGTAAAGCTTTAGTTAAAAAGTGCCACTGTTTCAAATCAGATTGCAAATTTACAATATCTGGTGTTATCATAAGTAACATAAATAAATGTTAAATTCATACTGAGGCGGTGATAGACGGCGTAGGCAGAATAATATTTTTATTAATATTCACCGTTTAGCTTTTTCACACTTGTTACTAATAATTTAATTTTTCTCCTTACTGCTCTCGAAACTGATAACTAACATTTTTGTCTCGACTGTTTTTGCTACATTTTACTAGCATTAAGCTTTTCATCGCCGGTACTCTTATTACGAACTTATGTATCTCGACTGCTCTTGTTACATTTATTGGTATCTAACTTTTCCTCGCGGGTACTCTTTTATCTCGACTGCTCTTGATATATTTATTGGTATCTTACTTTTCCTCGCCGGTACTCTTATAACGAACTTATTTATCTTGACTGCTCTTGTTACGTTTATTAGTATTTAACTTTTCCTCGCGGATACTCTTATTACGAAATTGTTTATCCCGACTGCTCTTGTTACATTTATTAGTATTTAACTTTTCCTCGCGGGTACTCTTAAGATTATTACGAACTTACTTATCTCGACTGGCAACTGCTTTTGTTACATTTTCCTGGTATTTAACTTTCCCTCACGGGTAATCTTAATACGAACTTGTTTATCCAGACTGCTCTTGTTACTTATACAACTTTTTTTCTTGCGACTCCATTTGCTGCTGATTATTAACCCTTCTCTCACGATTGTTCACGTTTCAGTAAAACTGACTATTGGGTTGGACTTGTTGAGTATCAACCAGAGGGGCACTACTGGGTGTCAGACTGTAGTAACCTTACATACACAAGTAATTACCCAAGCGGCGCCGATCAAAAGTGTTTTAGACATAAAAAGGGTACCCATAAGGGGGAAAGTAGGTCGTGTACAGAAACTAATTCATTTTTGTGCCAGATCGTAACAAGTAAGAATAATATTTATATGTTAATAGGTATCTTCTAATCTTCGATCATAATTATGTACATTTATAAAAACGATATACTATGATACGATATTTTAAAGAAACGAGATGATACTATATGAAAAATACAAAAATATGATACGGTAGCTAGGATATAAAAACAATGAAATACGATACAAAAATATGAAACTTTATTGATATGATACAACACAATATGATACAAAAGTATGATATAATACATATGAGCCGTGTCACGACAAAACCAACATAATGGGTTTGCGACCAGCATGGATCCAGACCAGCCTGCGCATCCGCGCAGTCTGATCAGGATCCATGCTGTTCGCTTGCCAACTCTATAACAAGTAGAGAAACTGATAGCGAACAGCATGGATCCTGATCAGACTGCGCGGATGCGCAGGCTGGTCTGGATCCATGCTGGTCGCAAACGCACTATGTTGGTTTTGTCGTGACGCGGCTCATATGTTAAATTATATAAACATATGATGACATATGAAATTATATTATTCGATATTATAACTGGTATTTTGTTATGTAACATTACATTGAATTATAGTGTATTAAATTAGGCAGATTTATCATTTTATCCTTAACATTTTCCAATAACAACTATTGGTCAAACACCATTTTTACAGTCAATCTTTTGAAATATAAAGTCAATACAGATTAACTTGACTATGAAAACATGAGCATAATGCCACTTTAATATCTCAATCCAATCTGTTTGTATGTAAGCAATGCATATTATATCAAATCCCATTCATAGTATAGACCTTTTTACGACGCGGTCCGTTGCTATGAAAAATCGATCGGAAGTAGTATTTTTCCGCGCATGCGCAATCTGCATAGGGCAAAAAGCGCATAGCATAACATATTAATATAGAAGAAGTTCATAGACAATTCCGAGTTAGTTTAAGGTAAAAAGTAGAAAATTATATAAAATAGAAAAGATTCCTTTATAGCTTTGTGGCCGAGATTGCGATACAAAGGCATGAAAAAGAAAATTGTTTAAGAATTTCCCCTTACGGTCACGGACCTGACATTGAGATTTTTTTAAGAAAATGTGGAATTATATCTATTATTCCAATGGGAGTCAACTAAATCTTTGTTGAAATAGTTCATAAAAGATAAAAGAAATTTTATAACATATGAAATCGAGGTTAATTATCATTCTGAAAAAAGTCAGAACAGACACGGTGATAATGCATTTTTAGTGTTCAGTTTACCTGATTTTATCCTTTATTTGACTGTGATGCAACGCAGATAATTTTTAAGTCACATAAATATATCTTAAATATTTTAATATTTGTTTTTCAAAATCTTTAAGGAATGTGAAATAACACACATTTTATCCGGTTCCTCGTAACACCTGTTAATATTTTTAATGCAAGTCACACTAATTGTCACTTTTCAAAACCAATAAATATTGATGAGGTCGGTATTTCTTGCATATCAGACTGGCGTTTCCGTGAGTTTTACCCATGCCGGAAATTTCATCTGGCATGGGGGGTTCCAGATGAGTCGCGTGCTGTACAATGGCACGGTTAGAATGACGTCATTTTTCCGTTATGAATGAAGTTGTAATTCATACGCTGTTGTAAGAAAGTAGTCACGGTTGTAATGATATAAATTTTCATCGAAAATAAAGGTAAATGATTTAAAATATAATGGAATATGGTAGAATATGCAAGAAAAAATATCTGACATATGTTTACGGTTCGGATCGGAATATCCGTCCCTTGGTCACCTCGGGACGGATATTCCGATCTGAACCGCAAAATATGACAGATATTATTAATATAAAAGTTACTTAAATAACGACTTTCATAATTGTACGTGATTAACTATGCCATGGTACTGAAACGTTCCGGTTGAATGATATTATAGCTGGAAACAAACAACCGCGTCGCGTGTCAATCTGTTTGACACTTACCGCCTGGCCAATCCAAAAGGTAGTGTACAATACACATTGTGTAATATTATGTAATACAGGGGTAATAAAATTTAATCTTCAACACGCTGCTGTTAAAATTTAAATAACAGATGAAAAAGTCGTCTAATGATACCTTAAACAGACGACTTTTGTGCGCCTTTTGACCATTGGATTATTAGTCCCGCATATATATTTATTATATATGTTATCAATATCAATTAACGTTTTAAGTACTTACCGCTTTAAGTCATCCCAAAATTACTGTTTTCTGGTTGACATAATATGGAATCACGACTATAAAAGCCTTAAAGTATCATACACTGTTTTCAATTTTACTGCGATTTTGCCCTGCGCAGAATGCGCATGCGTGAAATGCAACATCGGTTACTATGGAAGAATCGTATTGTAAAAAGGTCTATATCAAGTCAAATCATACCATTTGAAATCATATAAAGTCCAGCCAAATTGAATCGTATGAAATCATATAAAATCATATAACATATCAAGTCATGTCATATAAAATCATATCAGAAAATAGAAAATCATATGATTAACCTTATGAAATCATATGAAATCAAATCATAGCATATCAAAACATATCAACTCATAGCATATCAAATCAAATGTTGACGTAATGTATCATTTTTATGTTGATTTTCAACTTAAAACATATCACATTGTTGAAAGCAGTGAAAATCTTCTCGCTTTCAGATGATAAGTGCATGTACACAGGCTTCATTGTAAGTGACGTAATATCCGTGGATACCAACATGACAGTTTGTAAGAATTTATGTAACATGGACCCGAAATGTTGGGGAACTGCCGAGTACGTTCCTGACAGCTGTGTTATGCTTGCTTTGGAAGGATATGGTGTTCAGAATTTTACGATGTCGTACAAAGGTTGCGTTAATGGTGCGTATATAGCCTAGTTATCGTATTCAGATTGCACGTGAAACAATCACTCAAACTTTGTAATATAATTTGCTTTGGGAAGCTTTGGTGTCCCGAACTTTACGGTTCCCTACCAATCGTGCGACAATGGTGATGATCAATATCAATAAAATCAAATTGCACATACCTGATTGATGTATGAAACAAACAATTTTGCTTTTCTTGTCCGATTCACAGCTTCGTAATGGTAGTGTCCAGAATATAACGATGTTTTACAATTATTCATTAAGGGGTGCATATGTTACCAATTTACTTTAATTCTATTGATTTCATTCAAGAAATCATTGCTCAGACTCCCTTCTTCTTTTCTATTTTGAAATTTTAGAAACGTAATAATGCTGTCGCAGTAAAAATCTACCATTGTACTTAGCACTTAGAGTATAATCATTTGATAGAATTAATAATAGTCTAGATTGCAATAATGTGTGCAATTCGGTAAATCTCGCTGTTTTGCAGTGTCAAAAGATAACACAATTGTTTAAGTTACCATGGAATTTTTAGTTTATGAATTCATTTAGTGTTTGAAACTCGACAACAAGCTTACAGGTACTGGAAGAAAACAAGTTTGTGTATTTGAAAATAAAAAATACAATTTTATGAGAACGAAACATGTTCAAAACTGAAAAAATGCTGAATACAGCTTGGTTGCTATGGTAACCAAATAAATAAAATAATCGCCCAAGGTGTTTTTGTTTCTGTTTAAGCTCAAAAGTATGAACCTTTACTGAAATTTTGATGAATTTCTGACACAGAGCAATGTTTCACCGTTAGTGAACGTAGCCCTTTGTTTAACGTTTTTGAGTGGATTTTTTACACTGAAAATATTTTTCAATTTGAATGTTCTACTGTGAAAATTATCGAGATATGATAACGTCACAATGAAATAGTAACTTATTGAAATCTTTGTGGTTCCTCATGTTGTGTAATTTACAAAACAAAATGTAAATCTTAGTCTTGTTTGCATCAGAGCAATGGTCATATCAGTTAAAAGTCACGAAGTACAATCACTTATTAACATTCTACATTCTACAGTTGACAATCACTTATTAATTAATATACTACGGTCGACTCCACTTATAACGAACTCGCTTATAACGAATTATCGTTAATAGCAAACTAAATCTGACTTCCCCGGCCGATTCTTTCTTTATCTTATATTAAATCACATCCCTGCATATGCACTCGCTTAAAACGAATTTTCGGCTATAGCAAACCATATGTATTTGATTACTAGTATTCATTTGTTTGCAAAGTCGGCTCTTCCTAGCTTGCCATAACTACTACATGTACATGTATATTGTAACAGACATCATGTCTTAAATCTGTTCAATTTAAAGCATAAATCTGGAGTTTAAAATAGTATTTAAATTCTATGTTTAACAGAAATTATTGCGTCACTACTTTCTAACGTATTTTTACTTTTCTCTTGCATATCAGTAACTGAGAATACAACAGCTATTGCAAATCCGGACAACGATAATAACTACCCTATTCCTTACGCAACGTGTGGATTCATATTACGTAAGTATAGCCTGTTTTTGCATGCCCCCTTCCCCAGCAACACGAAAAATTAATTTCTGGCGCCAAATTATGCAGGGACAAGATGAGTATATAGCGATGCGTTAGCCGAGTCAAATCTCAAAAATCTACTGCAGATAGGAAATAAACAGAGTATGTCACAAATTCATTACATTTTTTAATTAATTTATAAGTAAATATTTATAATTATCATGACTACCTGTCAGCGATAACTCTTCTGTTCCTCAATTTCGCGCGTTCCTATGACAATTTAATTTGATAGGAACAATCCTGTGACATTAAACATGATAGAACATGACGTTAGTGCTGGCAGAATTGGTGATTGGACGTCACTTACGTGTGTATGAGGGTTGTTCGATATATAATGTGTATTGTACCTTCAGTACCTATTACGCTTTTCACGATTTCGTAGATATTGATACGCCTGAATAGCCCTAGACACTCGTTGGCCTCTACTGTAGGAATAATTGAAATATTGAAAACAAAATAGATCTTACATAAAAGTTCGCTCAAAACTCGGTCATGCGGTAAAGCAGAATTAATTTGTTGCGAAGTTTATGAGTCTAATTATCTATCTTATTAGTGGAGAAAGAAATATCTGACTCAGAACAGAATCCGTCAAAGATGCAGCAAAAGCTTGCCTACCAGTGACTGAAACATGCACTAGAAATGTCTGAAACATGAGCGAAATAATTGAAAGTGACGGCACGTACACTGTTCGTAATATTACCCCTACTGATAGCATATCGCGGGTACATTTCCTTTTGAAGCGTATTTTTTCAAAGTACAACATATTTCTGCCTGTAACAGTTAATATTCAGTTCAATATATATATCTCTCAATCGGAACACCTTATCGTTTATACATAATCGTCTCCGAGTAAAATACGGATTGAAAGTAGTTCTCCCCCTTGACTTCATATGTAAAGAGATTCCTTTTATATCATGAGTAATTATAGTGTATTAATTTATTTGATTTATTTGACATCCAACGGACAATTAAGTCTATTTTCATCAAATGATGATTGAAAAAAATATGTCGAACAAGCATTAATTTAAGAACGACCTTATGTGTCATAACCAAATATAGGTTCCTGGTTTAATCCTGGATATTTTTCAGGGACCAGGTAACACAAAAGTCTATGTAAAATATATGTTTTAATTTGAGTACATGTTCAAAGTTAGTTAAGTAATCATGATTTTAAAATGATAACAAATAAGGGCTATAGATGTGGATACCACATCCGTTAAATCTATGTCCATTTATTGCATCAGTATTTTAAAGCATCTTCTATTCTTAATTTAATACCTTCCCCGGGTGTTTTTCTTCTTCCTTTTTAGCCACGCCTTCATATGTAGCAGTCGCATCGTCTATAGGTCTACCTTCGTGCGAACCCGTGAATGTTACATCGTATGTTACAACAACAGTCAACGTACCCCTAACAAAGACTATAACTGTACTTTCTACATTGGTTCAAAATATATCAAACGAAGAAGCACAAGAAGTGGCCGAAGAAATTGTTAAAAATCTAACGATTGACTCAAAATCAACATCGTCACACCTCCGAAAGCTTTCCAGTGCCAAAGACACCCGCAAATCAGCGACATTCGTTGGCTACGTTGGGGTATTGTTTGTTTTTGTCCCCCTTGGGATTCTCTTTCTAGCTGATATTAAAAAGTTGGTACAAGATTTCATCTCGCATGACCATATTTACAAAAGAAAGAAAAATTAGGTATACCAATTTTCACAATAAACATAGTATTTATCAGTTGAAAAGTTTAGTATACTTGTTTAAAATTTTCCATTCAACTTATCATTTCTGCGATGTAGAAATGTTTATTACGATATGAGACATGATAGATGGAGAGTAGCGCTGAATGTGAAAATATTTGCAATAAAACTAACAAAAATGTAAAAAAAAACAAATTAGTAGATTCGATAGTGTGGGCTTGTAAAATGCTTTGTCACAATCATCTCATTATTGACTGTTTTCTCATTGACTGTTGTTAAACCTTGCTCTTCTAAATATCTCTGTTCAGTTATATACATGTATTTTGAAAAAGTGTATAGAATGTTGTTTTTTTTCCCCAGTCTGACGAGACAGACAAGGCGGATGGCTGTGTATCTTTTCCTCGGGGGCCATTTGCAAAGACATTGTAAATAATATGAACAGTATTTTTGTTTTGAGCAATGCAGAGGTAACAAGGAAATTAGTGATTTCTGTGCAATTGCGTTCATAACAAAAGACCTTAATTTGCACAACTTTTATGTCTTTGCAGATGGCTCTTGAATAAGATGACACATACAGCCGTCATGTTTTCCACGTCAGACTGGAAAAAAAACACCATTTTTTACATGTCAAAGAATAAGAAAAGTTTAAACTTTATGATTTTTAAAAAGAATGAATATGATTCATAAAAGTGATATATTCTTGTTGTGACAACATCTTTTTAACAAAACATGCAGGTAATAAAACAGAATTCCATAATACTGGTATATCAATGTTTGACTGTATTCTATGACCGATCTGTTTTTGTTTTTTTTTCTTTTCTTTTTTTGCGGGAGAGGGGAGGGTTGTTTGGTTTTACTTGGCACCAATGCAGTATATAACATATGGCGCCTTTTCAGCTTTCCTGATGGAGTAACACCTCAGATGTTCTTTCGTGCATTATGTTCAGGCACTTAATAGAACCAATGAAAATGGTGTCCTAAAGGGAATAGATAGACACGAAGATTTTCTTCGCGCAGAAACAACAACTGACGTTTCTTTCTGCTAGTATCTTGACATCAATTATTTTCCAATGAATGCATAATAAAGAGTGTTCTGGATGAAGGTTGCTGGTTCAAACCCGAGAGGCCATTGTACATCGCAATTCAGTCTTATACAAGAAGAAAATACAACATTATTTTGTAATAACTTTTTTATTTCTTTTGGCGAATAATTTCCATCATGACTGGGTATAAAAGCAATTTAGGAACTTTAAATACACATCATATTTGCTCCGACAACGGTCGCAAATAGAAAAAACGTTATGTTAAATTTCAGCTGAGAGGAGTAGTCAAATATGAAATTTTGCAAAATTAACACAATTAAAATGCACCGACAACGGTTTCACGTGTTATGTATGTCCGATAATTACACAAACATTTTTGATGTCCTTTGAATCATATCATAGTGTTGCAAGAGCACCGACAACGGTTGCATCAAGCAATTGACTAATGTCTATTCGATTAGCAATTGACTGTTATTTAGGTACTCCGTCGCCCAGCATAAAACATGTGTCCCAATCATGACGAACCGTTGTGATAGCTGACTCCTGAAATGTAAAACAAGCACAGCAGAAAAAAAGGGTTGCGGAGGGCGGGAAATTAAAAACCTAGATTAAGATTTTAACAAAAATTTTAAAATATGATCAGCAGCTACCTTTCTCATAGAGTTCCAGAACGAAAAGGAAGCAGCGGGCTCGCGCAGCTCCTTATATATAGTGTTCTAAATATAGCTCTCAGACTGAGCATGCGTATTGATACGCAGTACAACTGATCGATAGATTAAGACATGTGTCATTCATGTAAAATAAAAGAGTTTAATCTTGAATGATTAAACTTTGATATTATTTTCCAATGAATGCATAATAAAGAGTGTTCTGGATGAAGGTTGCTGGTTCAAACCCGAGAGGCCATTGTACATCGCAAATCAGTCTTATACAAGAAGAAAATACAACATTATTTTGTAATAACTTTTTTATTTCTTTTGGCGAATAATTTCCATCATGACTGGGTATAAATAATAAAAGCAATTTAGGAACTTTAAATACACATCATATTTGCTCCGACAACGGTCGCAAATAGAAAAAACGTTATGTTAAATTTCAGCCAAAAAGGGACTCGAAGAATGAGAGTACCTTCCGCCAAAGCGGTTTAACATAACGACTAAACCCAGCCACGTTGAAAACTCTAGAAGTTAATATTGAAACCTGATTTATATATAAATTGTTTAGGAATAACTAACAACAAATACTGATAAAAGTGACAAATCTGTCTTTACGTCACTAAATCACATCGGGAAGATAGGCTGAATGAATAAATGGTCTCGGAAATATTATTTAGCATCAGGTCATACATAAGAGCATTCAAGCAGACGATGACAACAAATTTAAGATCTAGGTAGGTGCTGACTTTAATATCAGTGGTCTAAATAGCGAGGTCAAATTAAGAATAAAACAATGAATTAGGACCGAATCTGGTGGTCTTAAAAGTGGATAAGCGGGGTAGTCTTAATTCTGGATCATGTAACCATTGATATAAAGAACAGAACATTCCATTCTTTTAAAAAATGGTCTTAATAGCGGAGTGGTCTTAATTCCGGGGTGGTCTTAAGGAGGGATTCTACTGTATATTATAGCTACTGGGAGACAAGTGTGTATCGTCGTACCTAAAGAACATTGGGGCTAGAGTTTATATACCGGTATTTTAGGTAGTGACCCCGCCATTTATTACATAGGTGACTATAGAGCTGTTTTATACGTTTTCTTGCTCGGTCAGCGTGATATAACGCCATGATCGCCATGGTAAATTATGTGACCAAATTAGTTTTGTATATGGAAACTTACTTCTGATAATATCTATGATTATTTTGAGATCCGCAATAATAGCCGCAGATGTTTTAAGGCCTATATCCTTGCCTCCACAATGAATACGAATACAGGTTTGGGTTCATTCTGCTTAAAGGAAGTTAAGTAGGCTATACTTTGTTCGAGATCCTCGATATTCATACCACCCATATGTTCCCAGCAATAGTTTTCCTAACACCGTCTGGTGTTGAACACAGTCTCTGATATGCACCGCTTAAAATGAAGGAACCAGTATAGAGAAGGAACCAATTATCAATACCTTAAAGAGACTTGGAAATTTGGAGCTTAATCGTCAATATTAAGGTAAAGGTATCCGCCAGCGGTCTACCTATACTGTGATAGCAAATGTTACATTTAAGTTGCCAAAAGCGGATCGCCGACCAATAACAACATTATAATTGACATTGCGTTTGTTAGACTTATAGCAAATATCACCTCACCAATTATGACATAAATAATACATAAATATGTATACCATCGAATCGATCTGGTATTATTATTATCATTATCTTTGTCAAATTACCATTATCATTCTTAAATCATATTATCATTTCATCATTATATTTATCAAACTATCATTATCACACAGCGACGACTATCATCATTTAGTCGTTATCATCATATCATCATTATCTCAACAAATTATCATTATTATTCTGAAATCATTTTTATAACAACACAAACATTATGATGTTATCATCATCATTATCTTTATAGTATTATCATTATAATTCTGAACTCATTTTCATAACAACACAAACATTCTGATGATATCACCATCATTTCATCATTATCTTTTATCAAATAATCATTAATCAGAAATAATTATCGTAACAACACAAACATTCTGATGTTCTAATCAACATTCATCATTGTCTTTATCATTTCATCACACAACTTTATCTTTATCCTTTGGCATTTATTACTTCTACATTATCTTTATTAGTTCATCATTATCTTTATCATTTCATCACACAACTTTATCTTTATCATTTCATCACACAACTTTATCTTTATCAATTCATCACACAACTTTATCTTTATCATTTCATCACACAACTTTATCTTTATCATTTCATCACACAACTTTATCTTTATCATTTGGCATTTGGCAGATCCTTCACAATATCTTTATAATTTAGAAAAATAAGTGTAACTGCTATCACTTGACTAATTAAGCTCCGCGACTCAACTATTATAAGACACATTAGATAACACGAAAAATAATGTCGCACAAAGACATCTTAAAATGCAAACAGAGAGGAACTAGCGAGAAGAATTCTATATTATGAACTACTTATTTAATGTCATTTTAAAGAATTACAGGCCACAAAGGCGATTAAATGATCCGGCATCGGCTTTAGGAAAACCCATAGAGATACTTTGCATAATATTGTCTGAAATTAACGAATATATATATGACTTATAGGTATCAGACCTCCACCTACCATGTGTTTTGATAGTATTTATAAGACATCCAACTCTATACATTCCTAAAGCTCATCCTATCCTGTTGTTATGCAGACCAATGAATTTTAACAGTTTTTTTGAAAACAACAATGAACTGGTAAGACGTCAGAGGAGACCCATCAAAATGGAAAAAAGGGGGTCATCATTATGTTGGCAATAGTTCAGATAAGAGTGAATATTATCATAACAAAACTTGTAGCAGTTTATTATTATTATCATTATCATAATTATTATTATTATTATTATTAATTTCGATATCGAGAGAAGCCCCTTGACCTCTTTGGTCAGTTTTCAAATGTTTCATGTTTCGAACCCATGATAATGTCATGTGTTGACAGGAAATGATTTGATGACCTCTTGTTCCGCCAAGTGATTCACTTACTCTAAGAAGTACAAATATACGCGAGTGAAAATGCAGCTTCAAATAACATGTATTCCTACAGAAAGCGACAGAAACTTTGTAAAGCTGAAATTAACTTTTTTTATGTTATGTTACAGGCTGACGTGTCATTAGACCCTCTTGTCCGTTTTAGACCTTCAAGCATACGTTTAACCTTAATATTTTTTCTTTTGTGTGTGTATGCGTGCGTGCGTGCGCGTATGTTTTCAACCATATCTGCAAGCTTATTGACATACGTTATATCAGATGTGTAGCTATTTATAGTCTTATAAGCGTACTGTTACAAGGACATGAAAGCTATATTTCGCTATCTGGTAATACGCCAATTATACTTCAAAAGTTTGAGAATATGGCAGTGTTATATTGATTACGAATATTTTATTAGAAGACGGAAACATAACCTTTTTGTTTTTCATTTCATTGCCCCATAACTGGAGTGCTAGAAAAATAGCACGAGTTCAAGATATGTGATGTCCTTAAAAATAAGCTCCTCCCATTAAGCTGGCCACTTAAAGGCACACCACTGACATTTAAAGTAGCAGTCACAACCTAAATAACTGCTACCGGACGCATCGGTGTAGGGTTCAATAAATGTATTCTCTGACCAATTCTTACCATGTAATATTGCGAGTCCATTAGATTCAGTAAGAAATAATTACGAGCCAGGTCATGGCGCATTCGCGCATTTCCCTTTACATGCATAAAATAAAAATATTTTTTAATCTTAGACATAGAATCATAAAATCTTCACAAGAAAGCTCTGCCAATAGGAATAGCCTTTGTGATAAAGTTAAGTAATCATGCTTTAGACTGAATTTCCTTCAAAGGTATACATTTTGAAGATATAAACCGCAAAGCTCGTCTATGGCTTGTATGCGGGTACATGAATGGTTTGATTTCTCCGCATAAATTATTTCAACCCCCGAGTAATCGATAGTTTTTAATAGATCTGCGCAGATCGAGATACCCCAAGGTCTAAACATACGTGTTTGAATACGTTAAATATCTAAACAGGATTCAAAAACTAACGTTTGCCATAAAAAATCATTTTTTAACAAGGCAATCTAAGAAAGAAACAAATTTTTTAAAATGAAACAGGGGTAGGCGGAACCCTGAGGTAACATTTATTTATTTATTTATTTATTTTTTTTAAACCAGGTAATACAATGTACCAGGTAAGTCAGATTTAAGTCACCTGGCCATATTATTTAAAAGGACACAAGTTAAAAGCTGATTTTTTTTTCAGTTTTGCAACAGACATATTTTCCTATACGTTGAACCAATGATGCTCCGTCGAATTGTGCATATTTGACATGCTAATAGACTGGTACGATAAATTCATTTAAGCTGTTACTTGGTGAAAATAACAAATTGGGCACCCGTGACTTTTGGAACGAGCCAAGCAGCATTAATTTGAAAATTGGAAATAAGTGGTTATTTGTATGGTCCGACAATCCAGCCAAATGTTTGTCCTCATATAATTGTTATTTAAAACTGCTGGATTGGTGCGCTTGGATCAGTATAATTTAATTTAAACCAGTGATTAATTAAAAAACCAAAAAACAAGCATCGTTTTTATTGTAACCTGTCAACTTATATTAATTGACGTTGAACCTAGGCCCCTTAAATATTCTGGTCAAGGAGAAGAACCTTGTTACAGGAACAGTGGGGGAGTTGCTGGGACTGAAAACGATTAGGCCTTCTATTAAATATCGTTCGAAGAAGCATATTCAGTGTCGTATCTGCTTACTATTTTATACACTTATGTGCAAAAGATCTTGTATAGACGCAAAAGCCCTTATTATTACAAGAAAATAATTTTCGAGAATGAGGGGGGGGGGGGGGGGGGTAATCGAAAAACCAACCGATTGAATTGGTTTCGTGGCTAACATCATCATTTTGTCAGTCTAAAGCTCGAGTCGTAGGCGGCTCAACCAATATGCCTGGTTGCTGCCTGTCGTATGTTTACCATATATTGTAGCAGATAGGATGCTTTAGAATATGTACAGCGATAATTATAGTATGGAATATATGAAAAGATATAGGATCAGCTCTCCATTTTCAAAATGATTTTTTTGTTTTCCTGCAGAATCTGGTTTAATTATAGGAAAAAGATGTTGTAGTTATATTTAACTATTACACCGTATTGTCTCTTTAATAGAGTGAGAAACTTGGGTAGACAAAATAATGTTAGATTGAAAGTTTACTTCACCTGAAGTTGGGGAAAAGTCATGAGTTTGAACAACTTCTTGACGTTGATTCGGATTCGAGCCAGTTGTCCTCTGTGCTATCGTCTTTTCTCATTTACAGCACTGGCCAGTCTCTCAGTTTCGTCCGCACGTCGTTTGGGCATTTTGATCAAGAAAAACAACAAAATGTCTTATTACAAACAACCTAAAAAGCTTGCCATGTTTATATATGTTTATAGACCTACTATTGATAATTTGGAATAGTTATAACTGCATTTGGTTAATAGGATAAATTAGGATAGATAGTTATAACAGTACTGCGTTTCGGATACATATAGACCCACGTGGTTATTTTCTTTTTTCGTTTATTTAAAATTCAATCAAAAGCAAGATTTACAAAAATATACATATAAAGAGCAATTCAATGGTTAACGTTTCTTATTTTTTAACTATCTATAATTTGAAATACTTGTAACTGCATTGTCCCTTTCGGATAAATAGGGCCACGTGGTTATTTTCTATTTTCGTTTATTTAAAATTCAATCAAAAGCGAGATTTATAAAGATTTAAATATAAAGAGCACTTCGATAGTTAAGGTTTAAAATTATCATTAAAATTTTACAATTAACATCCAAAATTAAAAACCTAGATTAAGATTTTAACAAAAATTTTAAAATATGATCAGCAGCTACCTTTCTCATAGAGTTCCAGAACGAAAAGGAAGCAGCGGGCTCGCGCAGCTCCTTATATATAGTGTTCTAAATATAGCTCTCAGACTGAGCATGCGTATTGATACGCAGTACAACTGATCGATAGATTAAGACATGTGTCATTCATGTAAAATAAAAGAGTTTAATCTTGAATGATTAAACTTTGATATTATATCCAATATGGGATTTATACCTACAATAAAGGAACCCTATCGATATATTTATCAAATTTGATATATAGCAAAAAACATAAATATGCTATTCTGACTCAATTTTCCAGTTTTCTAGTGTACTGTGTCATTTAGTTAAATAACATTGACTTTTTAGTTTAATTATGATATTCTTATGAACGATATAACATAATCGTCCAATTTTAAAATTTATTTCAAAGCAACGATTTCTAGCGACGATTTTAAAATCCCGTGATGCATGACACAGTTATGGGCCCCGACAAGATTTTCTAAATGCTGACCTTTGACCTATTGCTGACCATGGACATATAAGTGTGACCTTGACCTTAGAGGTTTAGGTCTTGCACAAGACACATTGTCTCATCATGCTTATGATTTATGCCAAAATGTTTTAAAATCCCTTGATGTATGAAGGAAATATGCGCCAGACAAGACTGTCAGACACACAACGGATGAACAGGGGTAACATTACATGCCCCCTTGCCATTATGGCACGGGCAAAATTGTTATCTTCAGTACTTTTCAAAAGAACAACTGCCAGAATTTCAATAATTTGCTATGCAAAACCCAGTCAACAACTGTACAGCCTGGCCACTCATTATATTTAACGATTCGTCATCTGAAAAGGATTAAGCTGACTTCTTTACATGTTCAAATGGACAATTTAAATGGTGACCTTTATTGGCTTGTTTATTGTTTAATAAGGTTTAACGACAGAGTGTTGGTCATTTGGCAATGTTCCAGCTTAAATGGTGGAGGAAGACCTAAGGTGCCTTTCTGTGCATCAATTCAGGCACGAACAGGCGCCTGAGTAGAACCACCGATGTTCCGTAAGCTGGCTGGATAGCTTCCTCACATGAAAGAATCCAAAATACCTGTTGGGATTCGAATCCACAGAAGTGAGTGGCCTTAACCATTTGACCACCGTTATTGGTAAACATACACTAAATGTATTTTAAAACTCTCTATTATGTAAAACTAGGACTAAATCAAAATATACTAAATAACACCTTTATTCATAACAAAGTTCCAATATTTCTCTATTCAACTCTTAACAGTACCAGATAGTTATATTCAATAATACTAATATAATAGGAAGTTATCAAAAAAAGAAAGAATTACCAATTTTTAAAGTTGTCAACAGTAATCACAGCTGTCAGAATTTAGAACCAAAATGTAAAAAGAAAACATGGTGGTTGCGTCAGCAGTAAGCTACATTGAATTTACCACAGCACAGTTTAGCCACTGCATCGTTCCTGGGCAGACTGTCAAGCAGTTTACCAGTCCTAGTTGCCTTCACTTTCTCAAGGAACTGATAATTTCTGTACATGCCAGAGCAGAGGTACAGTGCAAATGACCGTAGAAAAGATTTCATAATCAATCACAATGAAAGTGACCTGCATTGTCCAGGAATCAAACTTATAAGTCCAACGCTCTACCTTAAAAGCTAACCGGACTGTGCAAATGAAAATAGCCAGTCATTGCTACTTGTATAGACTCTGAAATGCCCAGGACTCTCACAATTCACCAATCATAACATTCCATGTGTCCTGGCAGTCTGGCTGGAAAGACTGAAATATTCTTAAAATATGCCTTTTACAAAAGAGCAATATTATTTTCCCCCAAAATTAGATGAAGGCCCTGTCATCAATTTTTAATATATTATTACTTGAGTTTAAGAGGATATTTCAGTTTAAAGCTACATCACAACTCTTATCAGTATCAGCTGATGAATTCATATCATTCCAAAAGTCATCATGAAACAATTGTTTTATATTCTTGTCATACATGGTCTTTAAATTTACTTTGTCTACAGTTTTGAACCCACAATCTCTTTTTCTCGTATTTAATTCTTTTGAAGTCTGAACCTCACACTTTCTTTTTCTTAACACTGCTGGCTCAGCCAAATTTGCTGTACATACATTTAAAGTTTCGTACTTTTTCCCATCTCTAAGTGTATGTATATTACCATTTTCAACAACATCATTCCCCAGGGAAGCACTCTCATCCGATTTATCCAAAGTGTTTGCTTTAGGTCCTGATTCTAAAAATCTTTTTTTCAAAAATTCTGAAATCTTTTTATGACCATTCTGCATTATGTTAATATCATCTTTAAAATAATCATTTATATTTTTACTACCAGCAAGAATTTGCCCAAAATGATTTCTAGAACTTTTCCCTTTTCTTTTCCTCTTCTGGTACTTTTTAATTCCGCCATTTATTTCAGTACCATCCTGTACCTCCTTTCCCTGTTCGGTTGTCATAGAAACTTCCATGTGACCAGGAGGCTGATCATGATCATCTGGAAGCTTAGATTTCTTTTCCTGATCTTTCAGCAGCTTGGTTTCCCATTCCACTCTTACAAGTTTAAAGAGCTGCATGGTGACAGTAGCATCTATCACAGAACAATGTGTATTTTTCTGAATTTCTTTATCTGAAAAGATAGACAAACAATATAATGTTTATAAACTCATTATTACTGCCATATTTCCCACAGACTTGACCAACAATTACCAAGTTGTATTTTTGTAACAGACATACCTAGTGATCGTTTGGACACATTTTCCTTACAGATATACCTACATGTTGTATTTTTTGTAACAAACTCAAATAACAATATCTTTAGAAATATTACCTAGCAATTTTTTAGTAATATTTTCTCAAAAGCTTATTTTGCAATTTTTTTTAAATTGAGCAATATTCTCCTTATAAACTTATCAGGCACTATATCTAATAATATTTTTTTCTCACTACTTTCCTTGCATTATTTTTTTTTTTAGATTTATCAACCTTTACCAACCTAGCAATTTTTTAGCCATATTTTTCAATGAAACTGCTCCACCTTTTTCTTGCTTTACTTTGTCAATGAGTAGTTTACATTTCTGTGTGTCTCTAGTCATGTGATGAGGGTGACCAAATCCAAGAACACGGAAATCATTGTGTATACCATGACCAACTACAATCTTGTCCTGAAATTAAACAGAAACAAATAGCTGAGAACTGAGACAAGGTTGTCATGACAATCTCAGTTGCCCTTATTTCAGGCACGAACTGGCACCGGAGTAGAACCACTGATGTTCTGTAATCTAGCTGGATAGCTTCATCACATGAAAGAATCAAAAGTCCCTGTTGGGATTTTAACCCTTATCAGTGAGGGGCAAGTGGTTGAAAGTGAACAACCTTAACCACTCGGTCACAGACGCCCAATGGGAGATACGTAATACAGGATAGTTTTAGGGTTCTCAGACATGTATATTTCTTGATTAAAGTAAAGGTTGGGCCAGGGTTAAGTAACACAGATACTGTACACTATGTCACACATCACTCAGTTATAGCAAAACCTTTCATTCTTTAATATATAAACCCTCTGCCTTCCAGTGCCAACTGAATCTACTCATGAGACCATTGATGTGTCAATAGATCATGAACTTTTGTTTGTTTGTTTGTTTCATTTTACACCTTTTCCCAACAGTATTTCAGTCATATAGGCGGGTAGTTTCCTAACCATCGTTCCTGGAGAGTTACACCAGTACTAGACTACCTTCCTCCGTGCTAAACTACCAAAGCATCTCCCGGGGATCGAACCCACGCCAGAGAGGTAACTGGATTAGAAGTCATCCTCTAACCCCTCAACCACGGAGGCGGTAGATCTGATCTGCACTGTTTGCTCTTCACAAGTACATTTTATTTTTTAATTTCCCCTAAATATGGTGAATAGTTCTGTCAAGATTAAAAGAACGGCAAAAGTTCATTTCAGACGTTAAGCATGGTCCACGGGAAGTGTTGCGAGTAAGGACCATTCTTACCTTGATGATATTAGAAATCTGGGACAATGCACTTTCTAGTGGTATTGCTCGTTTCATATCTTTCTTGGTAATACCACTGTATCTTGTTCGGTAGGTGGTGATTTTCTGTTCAGGCCAGGCGTATATATCACAGATCACATTCTCATCATAGTCTATAATACTACAGCGACCTGAAATGTTACATTCTGTTGTATTATCACTTTTAAAATGAATAAAATCAAGTAATTTCTTTTTACCAGTCCATATTATTATTAATACAATTAGGTTTCTTAATAAAACCATTTCTTTCAAATATGCTGGTATAACATTCAAGTTGTTATAAAATAGAAAAATCTGAAATTGAAATTTAATATATTAAAAAAATGTACTTGTTATTTAGTCTAAAATTTATAACAGATCTGCCGAGCCCTTTAAGTGAATTGGTATATAATGGACGGTCTGTAATACAATGAATAATTATGTGTATGAAACATTGTTGAAAGTATTTAGAATCAGACATAACAACAAACCACTGAAGAACTTAGTTGGCAAACGTGAGATACCTGATCTAATATTACATTGTACATATATTTATATAGCAGATACATGTAATAAAATATTTAATACAAAATATTTTTATTCATCATATAAATGTTCATTCATTCAGCATTATTTTTAACACCTTTTTATAAGAATATACATATGTACCAATGATACACTATAACACATTTATTGTTTTTATCATTATTTGAAAATTTAACAGAATACAAAATTATGTGCACTTTAAGATTGCACATGTATGTTCATTATGTACATGTTTCTAAGAATTGTCAGATCATTTGTTTGATATCTGTGTTTCAGTACGGATTCTCAGACCCTGACCGTTAAAGTAAAAAACAAGCACTTATTTTTACAGAAAACTGAATAATTCTTAGGCAAAGTAGGTTTTCCCGTTTATTTCTATGTAATTCTATATCATATCAAATGACCCTGTGGAGGGCCAATTTGTCCAAAGTGTGACTGTGTCATCCTATGAACAGCTTTGGTAGAGTTCACTAGGACATTATGTTACACATCACTGACATCTAACTAACACTGGGTGGTTTAAGATAAGAATATTCATAAATATTTATCTAATTACATGTATTAGCATATATGTGTACAAAATATACAACTTTTGTCCTGTAAGGGGAGAGAACTCTGCAATTCAATACCCAATCTGGTCAGTCAATATAATATATATTTAAACAAATGCAATTTCCTGTCTGATAAACAACAGACATTGTATGTAAAACATCACACTTTAATAAACAACTATATAAAGTATTTCTCACCTAAGGCACTAATGTCTCCCATAATTCCAACAAATTCACAATCAAGAGAGACATATTTTGATGTTGGAGGGATTCCATTATCTCCATCGCTGTTATCCTTATCTTGATCTACACTGTCATCATTTGTCGCAGACATTGATTTATTATCATCAACTTCATCATCATCAACTTTATCATCATCAACTTTATCACCAACATTTTTATCATCATTCAAATTTTTATCTTCAACAACTTTATCATCAACAACCATATCATCATTAACTTTTTTATCATCAACATTTTTATCATCATTAACTTTATCATCAACTAAACCTGCAGTTTCAATGCTGCCATCTCCACTTTCACTGCACGCAAAATGATCTAATTTACGACCTTTACAAACTGTTTCAACTTTTGACATAACATCAAAACTGCACTCCCCTTTCTTGTTTATTGAGATTAATAATTCACATTCCTCAAGGACAAGCTTCTGTTTCTTCCTCAGTGGTTCCATTTTTATACTGAAAAAAAATTTACTTTGTATATTAGCTGCAAATATATATACACAGAAACTTAAAAATCTCTTTAAAAAAAGTCATGCAGTTTTCTCTTTATATTCAATTTACATCAAGTTTTTATGTTCTCCTTTTAAAAAATTCTGTATTATTTTCAACCAAAATTAAAGGGAAGGCTCTTCCCACTACCTGTGCTTACTTCCAGATCAGAACCATTTAAGAACCCACAATTGGGTGTTATAAGACTGTAACAGGTACCAGTGTCTGTCTCTTATATATTTTCAATCTTGAATAATTTCACTTAAATAATATAAAATTAAACTAGAAATATGTCCATAGGACACAGGTGCCCCCACACTCCACAGATTTGTCAATCTTATGTCTCTAGGTCAAATTTTTTTTTGGCTTCATGTGCCCAAGTTGAAAACTAAAAATCTTTTATTAAGTGAAGGGCAAATACTACAAATACTGAATAAAGCTACAAGAAAACCCCAAGGTGCATAAGTACACATGCTGATCAACATTATTGTAAACTTTCAGGCCTACAGGTCATAAACTTTTTAAGTTATGTGCAATAACTCTAAAAAATACTAAAAATATCCACACGAAAATACCCAGGTGCACAACAACACATGCTGAACAACATTCTTGTAAGGTTTCATGACTATAGGTCAAATACTTTTCTGTACGAAATCTGCTGTGGTCATAGAATTTTTTTTCAATAGGTTTAGATCTTAGATTTGGTTTGCTAAATTGCTAATCATGGTCATGCAACTACATAGTTAGGTGAAGAAGCAGGCGCTTGTTTTGGTTGAGTCTATTATGTTTTGTTTAGGGGTTTGAGTTGTCATACACAAATTTACAATTTATATGCATTTATTTTTTTACAATGTCATATTGTTATTATCTTAAATGCTTCTGGGATTGTTGTTTTATCAATTCATTTGTAAATAAGATTGTTATATGTCTATTAACGGAATAATTTTAATGAACACGAAATTAGTTCACAACTTCATGTGTATTGGTATGAACGTGATGGTTTAAGCCAATGAAAACACGTCAATATTATTATACTCAGGCAGAGAAAAAGTGTGCAAAGAGTAATTCGATAATCTTTATGTAGCCAGCAAACTTTGAATTGCAAGTATTTTTTCATTTCTTTTCGGCAGGAGAAACTGTCCGAGGATTCGTATCGTAAAATAGCTGCCATTTACAGTATCAAGTGATTATCCCAAGCACCACTGCGACTTAGCGTGGGAATTTTAATTATAGCTAACCTCTGCGCGTAAACCTTTTTCATATTTTATTGTAATAAATATAAATTAATATTTACAAACTGTGTCTGTCGGGTTTTTTTTATCAATATATAATCAATTATGATGTTAATATGAATAAATAATCATATCTCAAATCTTTGACTATGATTTACAATGAAATTCTACCTTTAGTGTATTGAAAAGGTTTTTAATTTCCTGTAATTTTATTTTGTGATTATGCTTCAAAGCAGTCAATTGACCGTGAATTTTCTTTTCATATTTTGATTTCCTTGAAATCATTTTTCTCATCTGAAGGCATGCAACTTTAATATGGTGATACATTAATTACATTCCATGAAAATGTTTAAAGATATAAAATATCTCATGACATGTTTGTTCATTTTACATTACACCTTTAATTCAGCAAACATAAAGTCTTCACAAAAAGTAGTATGCAACCGTACCTATATTACATACTATGTATGTAATATTTTTCTTGTTTAGTTATGTGCACAAGTTGAAAATTGTAAATTTTTACTAAGTCAAGTGCAATAACTCTAAAAATATCCACACTAAAAAATACCCAGGTGCACAACAACACATGCTGAGCAACATTTTTGTAAGGTTTCATGACACTAGGTCAAGTACTTTTTTAGTTACAAGCGACACAAGTTGAAAATTGTAAATTTTTACTAAGTCAAGGGAAATAACTTTAAAAATAACAAGCATTTGATAGTATTGCGGGCAATACAGTAGTCCCCTACCGGTCCCTCAAAAAGTTCTTTAATTGTCATACACTCCTGTGTATTGCCATTTATAATGAATTTGAGGATGAAGTCTGTATTTGAAAATATCGACCACAAAACATAATAAAATAAGTTTGTCTATATCACAGTAATGTGTTAAGTTTCCATGCTTAGTAAGGAAATTATGTTTATACAACCTTGTCATATTATTACGATGTGTGATTTTAAAGTAAATCCTATAAGGAATGAAGAAGTTGGAGTGAAAATACCAGTATCTCGAAAAAAATCTAAGTTCAAGGGGGACATAATTCTGGAAATAGTCTTGCTAGAGTATTTAACCTTCTGAAAAATGTCGAGTGATAATAAGAAACATATATATGAAGTTTGAAGTAGATACATTAGGAAATAAAGAAGTTATTTAAAAAAGACATCATTTTTTCCCCTAAAAAATCTAAGTTCAAGGGAGGTAATACTGATATTTTTTGTGCTAGAGTTATAAACCTTGTCACATATGATGTGGTTGATGACCAGAAACTTATATTTAAAGTTTGAAGTAAACACCTTAAGAAATAAAGAACATATAGTGAAAAATCTGAAAAATTTAAATCAGAAATCTTGAAATTCAGGCTATTTGTTGCCATAGCAACCAGAATTTTCAACATAAGAAAAAAAGAAAAAGATGTGCATAACCTCCAGACTGCCATCTACCTATATTTCAAGTTTCATAAAAATATTTTCAGTACTTTTTGAGTTATCACTGGATCCAGTTTATGTGTTAAATTTGCCATATTTTCAGACTATTTGTTGCCATAGCAACCAGAATTTTCAACATAGGAAGAAAAAAAAAAGACGTGCATAATCTCCATACTGCCATCTATCCATATATCAAGTTTCATAAAAATATTTTCAGTACTTTTTGCGTTATCGCGGGATCCAGTTTTGTGGACGGACGGACTGACGGACTGACAGACTGACAGACAGACAGACAGACGGACAGACAGACAGACAGACAGACAGACAGACAGACGGACGGAGGGTAAACCTAAAGTCCCCTCCGGTTAAACCGGTAGGGGACTAATAACTATATCCACATGAAAATTCCCAGGTGCACATTAACACATGCTGAGCAACACTCTTGTAAGGTTTCAAGACTCTAGGTCAATTACTTTTTGAGCTATGTGCAACACAAAAAGGGGACAGACGGACGGATGGACGGACGGGTAAATTTAAATGCCACCCCTATTTTGGGGGCACAAAAAACTATTGTTTTTTTCCCCATGCAACATGTGCATGAGTATTTAAACAAGACCACCGCATGCAGTGTTAACGCTCTTCGGCATAACTCCACAAATATGGCTTTCAGAATTATACCTCTTGTCTGACAATTGCACCTCGTCATGATAAGCAAGAATTCCAAGTTTCATGTTAATAAATTTCATAATGTTTGAAAAACGCCTTATGGGCTACATAACAATCTTTGCATGACGACAATGCCGCAGCAATCATAAAAGTCTCACTTTTTCTTTGAACCACTGAGACAAGCTAATTAAAACAGAGTAAACGTGCTTGCATTGGGAGTTACATGTAATTATTCATTGTAATGGTAACAGTAAATAATTATAAATGAAATACCTTTCAATGAAGCTGTTAGTCTTTATCATATATGTAGGATAATTTTCTGTCAATCTAACCAAGTTTTTGGTGAACTTTTTGGTGAACTTTACAGAAAATGATTGAAGAAACAACCTCAGGCTCATAACACTTGATATCCATCCAAAAATTATTCTGCTTCAGTTTTACAAACTTCCATTCCAATTAATTTCAGACCAGTATCCTGTAAATAATAATTTTCTATTATTAATATTAAACAATATGAGGCAGCAATCACGCTTATTTACTTCCTAAAAACTCAGATTGAAAGTTTAAAGGAAATCTGAATATCAGTGAGTTTTTATTTTTGCTCATTTTTTATTTGTTTGGGTCGTCAGACCAAACAAATAATGGTAGCGAAATTTCAGAGTCTAATGCTGTTAATTGCAAATGCCGAAAGTAGTCCACTTTTTTGAAGCGGTAACTTCCCTTTATATGTACACAAACGCCGAAAAATTCAGGGGAGATCACTGTGTAAAGATGGTCAAAGTCAGGCGCATTAATTTTCAAGCAAAATAATTCCCGAATGGTCGAAGATTTCTAATATTGTTTTATTGTATTTTCTGATCGAAAATAAGTAAATACAAAGCGGACATTCAATCTCTGACACAGAAGTTTTATGACAAACCTAACAACAAGTAGTTCTCAAAACAGCTTAAAACTAGTGATTTAAAAGAAAGAAATATTTTTATTTTGTTACAAGTATCCAACAAATTACAACGCATTCAAAGTTTAACAAGAGCCACCGCCGGGCGGGGGCAACGCTCGACTTTTTACTTTTTCTAAACGCAAACATAGAAAGGTTTGAACATATATTGATGTTTCCTTTTTATAAATTTAGTTGGTCTGTCTTGTCACATTAGTTTTGTTTATATATTTTGTATATATATGAATAGAAACATTAAGCATATTTCTAAATATAGCAACAGTACGCAATTTCTAAAAAAAGCAACAATGACGCAATTTCTAAAAATAGAAAAAATGACGCAATTTCTAAAAATAGAAACAATGACGCAATTTCTAAAAATAGAAAAAAATGACGCAATTACTAAAAATAGCAACAATGACGCAATTTCTAAAAATAGAAAAAATGACACAATTTCTAAAAATAGAAAAACATGACGCAATTTCTAAAAATAGAAAAAATGACGCAATTTCTAAAAATAGAAAAAATGATGCAATTTCTAAAAATATAACAAAAATGACGCAGTTTCTAAAAATAGAAAAACATGACGCAATTTCTAAAAATAGAAACAATGACGCAATTTCTAAAAATAGAAAAAAAAATGACGCAATTTCTAAAAATAGAAAAAAATGACGCAATTTCTAAAAATAGCAACAATGACGCAATTTCTAAAAAATAGAAAAAAATGACGCAAATTCTAAAAATAGCAACAATGACGCAATTTCTAAAAATAGAAAAACATGACGCAATTTCTAAAAATAGAAAAAATGACGCAATTTCTAAAAAATAGAAAAAATGACGCAATTTCTAAAAATAGCAACAATGACGCAATTTCTAAAAAATAGAAAAAAATAACGCAAATTCTAAAAATAGCAACAATGACGCAATTTTTTAAAAATAGAAAAAATGACGCAATTTCTAAAAATAGAAAAACATGACGCAATTATATACATGTATATATATATATATATATATTTATATATATATATATATATATATATTTGATATATATATATATCTATATATGTCTATATATATATATATACATGCATATATATATATATATATTTATATATATATATACCTGCATATATGTATATATATACACACACACATTTATATATATATATATATATAATACATATACTATACATACACACACACCAATAAATGCACAATCTGAGAAAATTCAGTAATATAACCTTCAAAGTCAAGGTCATTAAAGAGCCCAAGCAAATTTGGGTTTGATAAACAACAAGGTCTGGTCCTTAAGAATGTTCTGTTATAATATGAAGTTTATCCCTTCAAAAATAGCAAAGTTACAGTCAGTTACTGCCAAAACAATGAAAATTTCAATAATTTGACCTTCAAAGGCAATTATGTTCAAGTTTGAAGACAATCCATTCAAAAATAACAAAGTAACAGCCAATAACAGCATGAACAAGCAAAAATTGGACTTTTAACCTTGAAGGTCAAGGTCATTTATGGATGAAGGTCAAGGTTAGTGTGGTCTACTGAAAGGTCTTGTCCCAAGGGTTGTTGTGGCCAAGTATGAAGACAATACACCAAGAAATAAAAAAGTTATGATCCAGGTACAAGTTTTCGGACGGCAACGGAGACGGCAACGGCAACGCCGACCTGACTATAACAATACCTCTACTTTTTTTTCAAAAAAAAAAAAAGTCGAGCTAAAAATAGCGTTGGCTTATAGAATTGTCAATAAATGCACAATCACAAATTACGCGGATGAATATGATTTTATCAATGAAAATACTATTTTTAGCGATGTCAATTACCGAATACTACACAAACCGAGTAGTGGAATATATCGATTCTAGCGATGTTGATTACCCAATACTTCACAAAGAAATCTGACTGCCGAGTAGCGGAATATATAGATTCTACATGTCGGACTGTTTGGGCGAGAAGATTTTCGCTAAATTATTTACTTCAATTTTAAACAACAGGTTTATCATGAACAAAATACCTCGAAATTAATAAGGATTACAAACCCGAAATGCAATGGAAGTTCTAAATTTAGAATGACTAGATTTTATTCAGGCATCGTTTGTATAACTTCTCCGTGGTGCAGGGGTAACGCGCTCGCTTAGTGAGTGAGAGGTCTGGAGTTTGAATCCCAGTCGAGGAAACTTTTTTTTTTAATTCTTTTTTAAGTGTCTTTGTTAAGGAAGTAGCCATGATATGCAAGGATAAAGTGTGGCTGTCATAAAAAATGAACATAAATGATTTTTTGATGCAACTCTAGTTATACAAAATTCCGTATGTATCAAACTCTGGTGTCTTGCAAGATGAATTATAGTACATAAAAATAAACTAATACAGGAAAATACATACAGATATACAGCATGATTTAGATTGCAAAGATCAGAAAATACCACAGAGCTTGCAGCCCTTTGATTCTTTATAAATATACATGTTTACAGTAAGCTCCAGGATTATTTACATCTGTGTTAAACAACAGTTAAAGTCGTTACAAGTCCTAATTTAGAATAATATGGTTTTCTTCAGGCCGTTCACATATAAATTCCATAGGAACTCGAGAACGGGACCGCAGATTGCAGCGTATATTTTCGATCTTGTAACGGTTTTAAAAAACGTTTCTGCTACATCTAAATATTTTTTAGTATTATCCGAGTGTATGGACTCAAAAAATATATTATCAATTGAACCCAATCTGTCTCTTTTAAAACTGGTCAAATTTTACGGTATTATAAAAAAAGACAAGGAGTGACATCCGCGATTTGCCGCAACGTTTTCGGCACGAGTTTTTCCCCTTTGGCTACAATTGATTACTATTTTTTCAGAATTTTGTTCCCGTTATTTTTGTCAACTATCAGGTATCGTCCGGATATAACGTTAACGGTTTATTGTTTACACGTGTTGACATGTATAGGCGGCATTATAACGGGCGTATTCGTGTATTGATTTGTTAAAATGGAGAAAACAGACACTTTAGTTATATGGTCCAACTGATTTTGCCAAACTGAAAAAAGGAATATTAAAGCATGATCCATAGATAAATATTTTAGGCACTCATCTCGTATTCATTACTAGAAAAATTAAAACAAAAATCAAGCATATCAAGGGGGATAACTTAGAGCTGTCATCGATATCGACAATATCGATGTATCGTTGATATTTTTTTGCCGATCGATACACATTTTAAAAAATCGATACTTTTGACTTATAAATTAAATGTCTAGAAATTATAAAATTCACCCAAAATATATACAGAAGCAGTTATTTATATCTTATGTTATGCTTTTGTTATATAGTGGAATTATTTCATAGCAATGGTGACAAAAAATATTGTCTGGAAAAAATCATGCAGTGGACAAGATAACTTACACCGAACGTTTTGGTAAATGGCGGATGTCACTCCTTTACTTTTTTCAATATACCGTAAATTTGACTGATTTTTAAATTAGCAGATTATATTTAATTGAGATTAGATAATTAAAGAACACCCGCTCGCATAATATGAAAAGATATTCAAAGGTCGGACAAACAATATGTAAAGCCGGTACGGATTCGGATTTATGCGCCGCAATATGCGGTCCTGTTCCAGAGTTCCTATGATAAATTCACCGTGGCTGAGGGGTTTTCGCGTTCGCTTAGGAAGCGAGAGGTCTGGAGTTCAAATCCCAGTAAAGGCAACTCATATTTTTCAAATTGTTTAAGTCAAATAAACATTGGATTGAATATCAGTGTTGCAATTAGTCTTATAGCCAATTAAAACGCTTGAAAGCATTGGTGGCACTATACATATAATCTCACAACCTGTACCTTTCTTACATTCTGAGACCCAAACAAATTCAGCGCCTTCTCTGCTTTGATTTTCTTTGTGGGTATAATTTCATCTATTTAATTAATGATTATTTTAGGACTCTGGTGCCAGTGGGGTAAACTGTTAAAACTGAGTCTAATTAAAAATAACCCTTCTTAGTCTGCTTCCTCTCGTCTATATTAAATGAGTTTGCGTTGCCCTATGGGGGTTTGGGTGGATAAACTTGTACAACACAGATATATTACCCAATTCTTTCACATGTTGTAAAATATGATCACTATCATACCAACGATTTTCCGAAGAAACGCTTGGACTGTAAAAATTCTATTCTAGCCGGTCTAATTCCGTATTTTAAAAATTCCATACTGTCCGGTCTAATTCCGTATAACAGAAGATTCAATATATTTATGAATTTCGATTGTGAAACAACTTTTATATTCGTAACATATTATGACTAGGGGCTTCCCAGCTAAGTTAATGTGGAAGATGCTGACTCAGATAGGAATCACTGGCCATCACAGTCTGTGCGAAAGTCTGACGGTCCTCGGACCTCTCCAACTAAAAATCAGGAGGGCCGAGATAAATTTCGATACAGTCAGTCCTCGAGTCCGAATAAAATTTCAGCCAGTTTGAAACAAATTTTTGCCTAAAATATGCAAAACTGTTTTATTTATTATGTTTCTGTATATTTTTTTTTCATAGTATCTTATAGTTGAGTCTGATAATTCATATTTGCTGAATATTTTTGTTTATAATTATGGCAATATCCCTCCCCCACCCCTACAAAAAATTACCTTTCAGAGTCCGGGCCGCAAAAAAATCATCAGGGCCGGAAATAAATCTAAGGATCCCAGTCCTTGTGGCTGGAAACATTTTTTGACTTTCGCATTGACTGCCATCAGAGAAAGCAAGCCATCCGCTCCTGAAGTCAGTAGTACAGCTGAAAAGGCATCTTGTTGGTTGTGGCTCATTAAAGATGAGCCAGTGCTAACTGTTAACACAAAGTGGTTTGATCCCGACTGCGGCCCCATCATATTAGAGTGACGGGGCGAAACACTCGATGGCACATACGTTGACGATGTTGACAGTTCATTTTTGCAGTACTAAACTGTATGCAAAGCACAGAACAAAATTGTAATGGTTCCGTATGAAGAGTAACGAGAGTTAAAGACTTACCACAGTAACGCTCGCTTGTTGAAGAGGCATTCGCTTATATAATATAGGTATGCATTTTATCGTAGAGTTATTTGTTTCAGTCAAAAAAAACACAACAGAGTTCTTATTTATGTTAACTTTTATATTAAAGTGATTTCTCCCTCAACTCAAGTTAGGGAATAGTGAACCATTTGTGTCTGTTATTTTCTTACTGTTATTCAAATATTCATTGCTGATACGTGGTACGTCTTATAATCATAATAATAGCATAGCATCTTTTATAGATTAACATTTTTAATGGAACTAATAAATTATCTTATCCTTGTTTTTGAAAACAAGGGATTATCTAAATTATTAAAATAATGACAACGTACGTTATTATTTACTATAACTTATCTTATTTTTCTCACAGATTTATAATACAGAATGTTACCTCCCTGTTCCTTGTTGGTTGATATTCATTTTTGACATTGGGTATTTTTAACCTTTTAAAATAATTTTAACTCGAGAAGAAACAGATCTCTTATCTTTAAACAGTTAAAATAAAGATAAATAGCATAGAATTACTAGATGTATTTTTTCCAGTACCTTTAGTTTGCTGCCGTTATTCAAGTATCTGAAATTTAAGTTTATCCTATATTATATAATTACCATCATCGGATACTCAAGGTTGATTAACATGTAACATAACATAAATGTTAATGGTTCCGCCGTTGTTATCAGACGATGCATAATTACTAGCACCATTTGAATGGATTTTGTACCTAAATTTATATCACAAATTCTTAACTCTTTTAACTTGCATAAACACAATTTTAGCGACTTAAATGAAAGTTATTGATGACTTAGAACTTCTTGAACTAATCAGAGATTAATGAACCATATACATCGGACATAGATTTTAAACAAAATTATATAACATGTTTTTGACCAAATCGCCATTCTCCCAAATGAGCCTTGCATCAAACAGAAAATTCAAGTGGTCCGACGGACCAGTGGGTTTTAAAATTAGGTGGTCCTTGCCAAAATCAAGTGGTCTCGGACCAACGGACCACGTACCGCTAATGTCGAGGCCTGTATATATATATATATATATATATATATATATATATATATATATATATATATATTATATATATATATATATATATATATATATATATAAAACATCCACAGGTCCATTTTCGTTTTTGAGAAAAATTAAAATGATCAGACAGAATTAAACACCTCTACCAGTTTGAATATAAATTGAGTATTTAATTGTTACGTACATAAATTTAATTAGTCAAAAAGGTAATTTGGCTTTCCATTTAATCTGATGATGAACATTTTACTATT